TGGTCAGGTTATTGATTTTAACTTGTTAAACTGATTGACCTGGATCAGTTCAGCTAATATTTTCTTCTAGAATAGATCAATTAATCAATATCAGTTTGTTTAATGTATTCACTTGGAAGCAGTTTAAAGTGAGTCACCTCTTTTTCTGTCATAAAAGGCAAACAAAATATGTTGCCTCTTTTCGTGATCATAACTTATTAGGTGAATACTACAAGAATTGGATAAGTGTTTTTATTTAGTAAATTAATAGCTAAGTAACATTGTTTGTCACTTTGGTTGGGTGAGCAATAACCAGTGGTAATCAATTCCCATTAACTGTAGCAGAAATTTTCATCAATTGCAGTTGAGCTGTAAAACTTCAATGATGGAAATGCTTCCTAACAGGTTAAGATCGACTCTATTTATCATCTATTATAGAACAATAGTTTGCAAATTTGTCTTGAAAATTCATTTGCTGGTCTTCTTCTTCTGTATGCTGTGTCCCTTCAAGACATTGGGGATCATGGCTCTCCACAATTTCCTCTCCTTTGTAGCTCTATAAATTTTGTCTTTTTGTTATCTCTCCTAAACCTTGCTTTGCCATCCATTTACTCAAGCTCGCTCGGTAGGTTATGCATTGTATTCCTATGTCGCTCTTGCTTCCAATCTGTCCTTTGAGTACCAAATTCTCCAAGCCTTCTTTCCTTCTTATGTGCCCTAGAAATTTCAACTATCTCTTCCTGATGTTAAGCATTGTCATTTTTGTTTCCATTTTCTTTAAAATTTTGTCATTGCTGACATGTTCAGTCCATGGTATTCTCAGCATCCTTCTGTAGAACCACATTTCTGTTGCTTCAGGTCTCTTCTTTTGTGAGGAGAGGGTATTTGATTCTTACAGTATGTATTCTTATGCTGTAACTTTGTACGGGACTAATGAAGGCTCCAGAAATAATTGCTCTATTTATATCTAGTTTGAGAACTCTCTTTTTTTTAAATTTTTTAAATTTCATTTTAGTTTTTTTTTTTTTTCTTTGGTGTTAATATTAGACAAGAACAGTGAAATATACGTCTCTGATTTCATTAAACACAATTATGAGTGAAATATTTAAATGTTTTTATTAGAAAAGTAAAATTAATTTCAAAAGTATAGAATCTTTTTTTTTTTAAACCTCCATCTTTAAAAATATATGTATTTGAAATTATATTTATATTATTATTATTATTTTTATATTTTTTATATTTATAGAATTACTATTATGTTATTATTATTATTATTATTTATTTATTATTATATTTATTTATTATTTTTTATATTTATTATAATATTTATATTATTATTTTTATATTTCTTAAAATTATATTTTTTCTTTGGTGTTAATATTAGACAGGAACAAAAACAGTGAAATGTTCATCTCTTATTTAAAAATAACAACTAGAAGTTAAATATTTAAATGCTTTATTAGAAAATTAAAATTAATTTCAAAAGTATAGAATCCTTTTTTTTACAACCTTACAAATTTATATTTTTTAAATTATATTTATATTATTATTGTATTCATAGTATTATTATTATATTTATTTATTTATATTCTATTTATTATTATTATTTATCAAGTTCATTATTTATTATTTATCACTATTTATCAATATTAATTTATTATTATCACATTTATTATTTATTATTATATTTATTATTTATTTATGTTATATTAATTATTATTATAATATATTTATATTATTATTTTTTTATTTTTTAAAATTATATTTATATTATTGTATTCATAGTATTATTATTATATTTATTTATATTATTTATTAAGTTCATTATTTATTATTTATCACCATTTATCATTATTTATTTATTATTATCACGTTTATTATTTATTTATTATTATATTTATTATTTATTTATCTATGTTATATTAATTATTATATTATTATAATATTATATTTATATTATTATTTTTATATTTTTTAAAATTATATTTTTTCTTTGGTGTTAATGTTAGGCAGTAACAAGAACAGTGAAATGTTCATCTCTGGTTTCATCAAACAGAATTATGAGTGAAATATTTAAATGTTTTATTATAAAATTAAAATTCATGCCAAAAGTACAGAATCTTTTTTGCAACCTCCATCTTTCTTATCCATGTATGAATGTTGTTTTTTGTATTTTTTTTTGTTGAGAAACTGTTAATAAAAGTAAAGAAAAATCTAAAATTATTTTTGTAAGAATAAGAGATTCACTTTCTTGATTAAAACACTGACTTGCTTTTCTTTGCTGAGAATAAAAAAGGATTGTCTGTTAACTGAAGTCAGCAGAGAAAATCAAATGTGAGCTTAACCCATTGTACACATATAAGTTACTGAAACATGTTGAAAATTATAGCTTCTGTGCAAAAATGAAGGCAGTTTTCATTTGTTTTTAAGAATCTGCAAGCATCAGTTTTCCATTATGCCATAGCCATGTAAGTTACTGAAACATGTTGAAAGTTATATCTTCAATTACAAAAAGCTAGTTTGAAGGTACATTTCATTTTTTTTTTTTTCAAAGTTTGCAAACACCAATTTTTCATATGTAACTCACTGAAAACTCTTTAAAAGTATATTTATATTGTAGACATGCTTATTTGAAGGCATTAATTTTCAAAGTAATATTTGTGAAATTGGAATTTGAATTGATTTTTTCAGAGGTACTCTGAGAGTAACCTCCTTTTATTTTTGTTTGACATGTTGTGGGTACAATAGGTTTAAGCTCAAGTTTGTTCTTTTAAATGTTTTTTATTAACTTTTCAAGTACAGACAAATGACTGATTTTGTTTTTTTTGTTTGTTTTTTTTAAGTATATAAGTATATTGTTTGAAAAATTGATTGTATAAATAATGTTTTATGCTTACCTGTTCTCTGTATTTCAAAATGAATATTCTATGAAGGGAAATCACTAATCCTGGACAAATTATTTTGGTATATTTCTTTTCTCAAATTGTCACTTTCTGAATTTGATTTGAAGTTTCATTTTTAATTTATGATTGAATTATCTATTTTATGAAAATTACCCTCCTAAGTTTATAGGTAAACAAAACTGAGCTGTTTGTTATCATTTAATTTATGAAAAGCTACCCTCCTATAAATTCATTTTTTAATTTTTTTTATGAAGGTCTGATGTTTAAAATTAAGAGTTATTTCAGTATTCATTAACATGATTATTTTTTTTCTTTCATCTTATTTTTGTTGCTTACTTTTTATTATTATTATTATTAAATAGGGATATTTTAAAAAAAAAAAGTTATACAACTGTTAAGCAAGCAGCATGGCTTGCAGGGTTAAGCATAAATTTCCAATGAAACCTGAACTTGCCTCTCTTAAACTTGGGATCCTATCTGACCAGAACACAGTCTTACTGGTTAGGTTACAAATGCTAATCAGCAGTTATCATTCAAATTTAGTCATCTAGTATAAAAAAAAGCAACAACTATGTGATAAAAAGAAATATTAGTCAAAAATCTTTAATGTTTTCTTTAAAAAATTTAGAAAATTCAAGGCACTTATTTCTCTTACTACTTCTACTTCTTTCATGTGCCTTGTTCTTTTCAGGACATAGTGCTCCACAACTTTCTATCCTTTTTAACTATTAGTAAGGTTTGTCATTTTACCATCTATCCCAGTCCCCATTGTGCCATCTATTTACACAAGCTCATTAAATAGTTTACTTGCTGCTTTCTTGTCCCTCCTGCCTTCAATGCCTGATGTGCCAGTGTTCATCATTCTGGTCAATCTGCAAATTGAGCAAGCAAAGACCTCCATGTGTTGTGTCTACTTCTGTAGGATTTAATAAATAACTTTATTGGCTTACTGTTTATCTGAGCTCATTGTGCCATAAGTTAGCATTTCAAATCCAGCAGGCTCTTCTCACTTGAAATACTGGCATACTGGAATCTTCCTACTAGGGTTGGCCTTGTGTTATAGAAGGCAAAGATTAATAAATGCTATTCTAAGTGAGTGCCATTTCCTTCCTGTTTATAATGAAGATGTCAATGGGTTTCATAAACCCATTGATATTTTATAATGAATGGGAGCTGATCTATGCTACCAAAAACTGACAAAAGTGTTTACACTTACTACATAAAAGATGTCTGCACACATTAAATGCATCCCCACATTAGCAGTGCATATTTAGGGAAAAAAAGGGTTTAGTTCATTTAAGCCTGTAATGTTTAAAGTAAACTGTTAGTACATTGCAAAACCCTAAAAAAAAAGCACTGGAGCTATGACAAAACATTACCACGACGGAAAGTCAAAAATTATCTGCACACTTATCTAAAAATATGTTAAAGCAAAAATGCAGATAATTTTTGACTTCCCTCATATATATAAAAATAATTCTTGATTATTAAACAAAATAAATAGCATTCTATTCACCATTGAATAATTATTGAATTTTAATTATCAACTCATTTACTTGTATCATCAAAGCACGCATTGTACTTCTAAAATATCCAAAATTTTATGTTGCTCTGTATTTTCTTGTTTTTGTACAATACTTACTGAATATTAAACTAAAGCTTCTGTTCACCATTAAATGAGTATGTATTTTTATCAAGTTCAACCTAATATAAAATTCTGTTTCTGATATACCACCAGAACAAATGGCTGCCTGACCAAATGACTTTGTCTCTTTGTTGTAGACTGGTTGTTGTATTACATGTATATGCACAGAGATGTACACACCTTGCATTCTTGTACTTATAGATTTTGCTTAAATTAAGGCATTGGGTTAGAAATAACTTTTAACTGAGGAGGATGACAAAGAATCTCTTGGAGGGTGGCTATTCATTATAATTCTTCCTGAAATCAAAGCAGCACCAAGATTCTGGACATCTTGAACCTTTTCTTACATTTGTTTGATACTTTGATGTCTCTTGACGGCCATTTCTACTTTACTGTTGGCAATTATATATTTCTAAACCTTTTTTCATTGTCTAAAACCTTTTTTTTTTGTGTTCCTCTCCTTCTCTCAACAGAGTAGCAAAAAGAAAAAGAAAACAGACTTTATCCCCTACAGAGATTCAGTTCTCACATGGCTCCTAAGAGAGAATTTGGGTAAGTTTTCTAATTTTTTTTTTCTTTCTTCATTGTTCCTTGTTTTTATCTGCACCTTTGGACATCAATTATCCCTGCTCTTTAAATTCAATCACCAATTATTCTTGTAATGATATCCTTACTTACCATGAAAAAAAGAAAAATGGTGTTGTATATCAGTTGTGGGAAACTGAGAGATCATTCAGGGTATAATGCAAGGTAGTAGTTGAGATAGACTCATGGGAGAAAATCAACAAGCATATGTAGTTGAATTAGATGAACTTTTTTGAGAAATATTCCATGAATTATCATGAATTGTAATAGTTAACAGTTACTGTATATACTCAAGTATATGTCACACTTTTTTTTCACCAAAATTTCAATAAAAATCAGGGGTGCAACCTATCCACTTAATATCATAGAGAAACTGAAGTAGACTGTGGCATATCAGTAGTCCAGGAGAGTACCCTGGGCTTGAGCATAAGTGAGAGCAAGGGAGAAAATTAATTTTTCCGACATTTCAATTTTACACAATCACTTCTTTCAACCATACCGTGTCACATGAAAAAGACAGAGAATGAAGATGGAGATTAACATAACTGATGATGAACTGAACGAACAAATGAAAAGAATGTTTGACAGTGACTTGGGGTTTCAGTCCTGATGAAGTTTAATAACTATATCTAAATGAATAAATACTTATAATAAAAATGTTTAAATATATGTAAGCAAAGTTTTGAAATAAAGATGAATATTCAAAAATATTTAATAAAGTTATATTTATATTAAAAAAGGGCCATATAACTCCCCAGATTATAGTGTGACCTATTTGAAAGTCAACTGTAAAAACCCACTTTGACAACCCCAAACTAAGGGTGTGACTTATCTATTGGTGCAATCTATTCGCAAGTATATACAGTAGTCTCTGATTTTGTCACTGGCCAGTGGCATTGCTGTTGTTGGAAACAGCTTTGTGTTGCTGCTAATGGCCTGGGCAGTTATGTAGTCTTCCATGTTATGTTAAGCCTGTTAGGTTAAGCCGGTCTCCTGGAGGAATTGTCACTAATGCCAATCTGCCACCATGGGTGAAATTAGCACTGGATTTATAGCCAATGGCTGAGAAACAACTGCTGTGGAAACCGTATCAGCCTTTTTCTGATAAATCTTTGACCCTGGTATTTTGGGGATGTATTCCAGAAGTAAGTGCATGGAGCCAGACAAAATTAACATCTGTTTGTGTCTTATGAGTTGTGGATGTCAAATTGAGCACTTCTGTCCAAGTTAAAGAATTGGAGTTCTGGCACCATACGGCACTCTCAGCTCTTGAATAAAAAAAATATTTTGTGCAACTTTAATGATGAGTGTTTGATATGACATTGTTTTATGTTCTGTGTTCAGTCAGTTAAGTGCCATATGTGGCACATGTTTTGACGATCATGTCTCTTTCGATTTGTGACTGATTTGGTAGAGATTTTCTCACAGTAGGTGGCCATTACTTTCTGTAGTAGACTGATTGTTAACCAAGGCTATAGGACCCAGTTTGTCCTGCTATTCAACCCATAGCTGGGAGGAGAAGAGATGAATTCATACCTTTTCCATGGGTATTTTCACATAAGCGAATGTAACGAACCTGACTGGAATTTGAACCCAGCTGTCTGATTTCTCATTCTGAACCTTTAACTATTACGCCACAATGCATATTCTATATTATTTTAGCGAGAAACTCCATGAAAGAAATTCTATTGTAAATTACCAGAGATAGATAAAATCATTCCAATGTTGTATGCTAATGTTTTTTGTTTTTTTTTTTGCTTTTAGGTGGTAACTCTAAGACAGCAATGATAGCTGCCTTGAGTCCTGCAGACATTAATTTTGATGAAACTCTCAGTACACTGAGGTAAGTTAAGCATACTTCCTTATTGATTTCATTATTTTATTTTCCAGAATTAAATTTCATTATTTTAAGTTTTTTTTTCTAAATTTTTTAGGTCACTAACATAACAAAAATGAAAAAAAAAAACGGTTTTTTAATAGCCTTTCAATAAGAATGGTAACAAATTTGAAGACAGAGTGAATGCAGCTGAAAGAAATGCCTTTTTATCTTTCTATAATGTCAACAAATTTTTATTTTTTAATTTTTAAAAACAAAACAAGGCTTTCCATTTTATGAAATGTTTTTTCACTGCAGAAGTTTGGACTTTGTCTTTTTTACATGGAATGAAAAGCTGCTTTTTCTTTTCTTTGGATTTTATTTATTTTTATTTACTTAGACATAATATACACTGTTTAATAAATAAAGATGTGGTCGCTATTTCAAATATGAAGTATCCACTATAATAATATTTGAAGTAATATATATATATATATAAATATAAAAGTGAACATTGAAATCAAGACTCAGAGGCAACAGACTGTTTCATGCTAAACACAATCATCAGGCCTGATGATTGCATTTAGCATGAAACAGCCTGTTGCCTCTGAGTGTTGACTTCAATGTTCACTTTTATATTTACATATGCACTATCTCTGATATTGAACACTTTATCCCATAAATATAGCACACATTAAAACTATATTTCTTCATACACACACACACACACACACACACACATATATATATATATATATATATATATATTCATGTATCATGAAACCTCTGAAGACCTAATTTTGAAGCTAATTTGACTCAGTAAATGTGTATAAGAGTTTTGTCAATGGTGTAGCTTGATCCAGCAGTACATACACTAATTTTATATCTTGTGTATAATGTGACTCCTTTAAAATTAGCTGCAAAATTACATCTTCAAAAGTTGCACTATATACAGTGTGTGTGTGTGTATATATATATATATATATATATATATATATATATATATATATACTGATATCATTAACCTCCCAATTGAAATTGTGCCTCTGAGGTTTCTTCTTGGCTCAAAACCAGCATGGACACTTTCATCCCTTCTTGGAAATACCAAGTAAAATCTGAATACTCTCTATGGTTCACACCATCATGCTCAGCTGCTATAGTAAACAGGAACAACTATTTTTGGCTATAACCAGTATGACAGCTCTCATCACAATAGGCACCTATTCATTGCTGCTTGTAATATATGTAAGTGAGTCTTCGAAGGAGTTAAGTCCCTGTTTCATGAAAAAATGTGGCACCACATAGCCTCTAACAACTTTGGCTCTTGTGATTACTGGGGGCTCTGTCATAGGACATTAAATAAGTGTAAGATCACTGCTGATAAAGCTGTATGTTTTGCCTGTAAATTCTCCTCAAATTCTACTTTTGACTCTAACTTCTAACTTCCTGCCTAACTTCCCACTTAGAACTGAGTCTCTGTTGAGTGATATGCATATAACTCCTTCCATGGTTTCTGCTATCATCTCTTACCAAGATCCCCACAAAGCATGTGGACCTGATGGTATCCTTGTAATAGTCATTAAGAAGTGTGTTCCTGAACTGGCTCCTGTTCTCTCTAAACTGTATAATAAATGCCTCACTACCTCCTGCTTTCCTGCCTGCTGGAAGTTATCATCTGTTGTTCCAGTTTTTAAGAAGTTTGGTAAACAGTCCAACCCATCCAACTACTGGCCTATTAGCTTTCTACATCTTTTTAGGAAGCTCCTAGAAGCTATAATCAATGCTGAATTGGTTCATCATCTCTCATCACAAGGCATTTTCTTAGACAAGCAATATGGCTTTTGTTTCTCCAGGTCTACTGCTGATGGTGCATTTTTTTGTATTAAGAATCTTGAATGCACAGGCCAGTAAATGTAATTCACACTGTTTTAAAAAAAAACACAAAAAAACTGGGTATCTACTCAAACATGTGTACCCACTAAAATATAGCATATAAAGTAATAATAAATATAAAGATAAGTACATTGATTTATATAGATAGCAAAAAGACAAACATTGCTTAGAGCTACAAAGGACAGGAAGTTGTGGAGAACCATGATCGCCTACAGACATGGCACAGAGAAGAAAACACAGATTCATGTAGAGATTGCAAGAAAAAGCAGTGAACTCATATCCTACGTTTGAACAGATTCTTTCTCTGATTAGCTTGCCAGTCCATGATGTTGTGTTCTTGTTTTTTCATTTTCTTTTTTAAGCAATTCACCCCAAGCAACACTAAGAGACCAGGGACTTCTGGGGGTGAAAGAGAATGAGAAGACTTTAGAAGGAACTGGAAATCCCAATGCTAAACAGGAAACAAGGGATAAATCTCTACTCCTGTACAAAAGACCAGGGAGGAGTGTGAACCAGGTGATAGGTGAACATATCTATGCCTGTGGAAGGAAAAAAATAAATAAATAGTAAATAAAATTTCAGGAGACATTGGTATAGAATTAAAAAAGACTTTAGAAGGAAACGGAAATTCAGTCCTAAACAGGAAAAAGTGGATAAACCTCTACTCCTGTTCAAAAGATTGGAGAGGTGTGTGAACCTGGCGATAGGTGAACATTGGGACCATTTCTGATTAGTTCACCAGAATATGCTGTCATATCCTTGCTGGCATAATTCTTGATTGGTTCATGGAAACATGACTTCATGGCCTAGCTATTCCAAATCTTTATCTTTGGGAAATTTGGCACTCACAGGACATTGACAGGATAGAGGAAAGCAGTGCATTACCCTACCGAATGAGTCCCTGAAGAAACATAGCACAGAAGGAGAATGAGCTTGTGTAAATATTTGGCAGAACAAGGATTGGGAGAGATAGCAAAAAGACAAACTTTACTAAGAGCTACAAAGGACAGGAAATTGTGGAGAGCCATGATTGTCCACATTCTGAAGGAACACAGCACCTGTAAGAAGATAGAGATCCATGTAGAGATTGAGAGAAAAAGCCGGCCATAAATAGTTGTTATTGTTCTTTGAATATTAAAATGTCTCTCTTGTATTTGCAGATATGCTGACCGTGCCAAGCAAATTGTATGTAAGGCTGTTGTTAATGAAGATCCAAATGCCAGATTAATCCGAGAATTGAAGGAAGAAGTTGCCAGACTCCGAGAACTTTTGGTTAATGAAGGAATTGAAATAAATGATGGTCAGTTTAGATTTCCTTTTTTTTTCAAGTTTTTTTTTATTTGCAGTCATTTTTGTTGCAATCTGAGTAAAAAAAAAATGTAATAATTGGAAATCAAGTTAAAGGAGAACCAAAATAACTGTTTGGGCTAGTTTTACTGCAAAATGTCAGGATTGTGGATCCAGATTTGGCCCAGAATGTTTTTAATTTGTTCACAAAGTTGACCGGATTCCAAAATGGTATGATATGCTGAGTTAAAGCCTCTAGTAGTAAAGTTTTAAACACGGATAATTTTATTTTGAAACACTATAATTTTAGAACAGTAATTTTTTCAACTGAACATGCACTATTAAAATTTAGAGATTTGTGTCCCTTTAATTGTTTTTTATCAGTAGATGCCAAGATGGCAGAATCCAAAAACAATCACAGTAATGAAAAATTGGGAATCCAAAGACTGTGGGTCTGGATCTAGCTCGGAATGTTTTTAATTTGTTCATGGAGTTGGCCTAATTCCATAATGGTATGATATGTTGGGCTATGGCTTCTAGGAGTAAAACTGAAGAAATGTGACACACTGACATTCACATTTATTATATAGCAGAAATTAAAAAATATATCTAATTTTTAAGTGTTTACATGAAAACAAATCATTTAAAAGTGTTTATTCTGTGCTAATAGGAATATATACTTTTAAAAAGAAAGTGGATAAAATAAGTAAAGGTTTAAATTGTAAAAGAACCAGTACAATAAGAATAAAGGTAACAGTTATGCACAAGGTTGTCGCAAGTCAATCCAGTAGTGAGTGCTACTATTGGAAGGTCAATAGTTCTTGCGTATATCTGAGTTGTACTCGACAGATCCCAGCTAGTCTCTGTAGATACTTATAGGTAGTAACTACTTATAGTGTACTCACTCATGGGGATGACAGGTTATTCCATTACACCAAAAAGGCAGGTTAAATAGCAGCATGCTTTCTATTTTTTTAACACTATTAACCTCTAAGGGCCTTGAATTGTTATATTCCTGGAGTCCTGGCTTTTTTGTTTAGTAGCATATCAACTCCTTATGAGTCATTTAATGCTAAAATTTAATTTTGTTACCTAAATTTATAGTTGGTAATATTTTTTACTATGAAAATGTATTGCTGGTATTATGATAAGAATTTTTATAATCTCATAGTGTTCTATTCCCCAGGTCGGGGCTTAATTATTTGCCCATAGCTGGAATCCTAGCAGGTGGTCCCACACGCCTCAGAACCTCCCAATCAGAGGCGTTGCTCCCAAATGTAGTTTATCGTCATTCCCAGGACAGCCTGGAGTCCTGACCAAATTGTTGAAAAATCTGAATATGTGATGTTAGTGCAGTTAAATTGATATATCTTAAAAGCTGTTGAAAGTAAAGTATTACAATTTGATTTATTATAAGTTCAATTGATATAGCAGAAAAGCTGTTGAAAATTATTTTAGCAGGACTTATATCTCAGAATCATTAAATTGTTAACTCACTTGAAAAAAAGAAAAGAGAATTATTTTCATAATCCAAAAATGTGTTTCAGCAAAAGGTTGATAAGCCATAAAAAACAAATCAATCAATCCAGTAATATTCACTGTACCATTGAACAATTTTTTCTTCCTATTCCCTTAAGGGGTTTTATACTTCATTAAATACAGTAATTAATCTTCACAAAACTAAGATAATATTATTTTTTTTCTCATCTCAGCCTTTAGACCAGTGTTTCTCAACCACTGTGCCCAGGCACACTAAAGTGCCAAGTCCACCCCAACTTAACAGAAGAGTAATTTCTTAATTATTTTTATATCTTAAAAATAATCTTTATTTTTAAAAAGCTAGAAACACCAAGCACATGGCTTTCATGTCTAAATCAAGTCTTTGTCATTTGATATTTTAAACTCGATGCTAAATTCCTTAATCTTTCTCTTTTGGCTTCCTTGATGGATTAAAATCAGTCATTATCAGTCTCCCTAAAAAGAAAAATAGCAGATTTTTAATAAATTCATTTAAATGAAAACTCTATTGCTTAAATATACGATATAATGTCTTAAAATAAGTACTTATTTCAGGAGACTTCTTAATATTTTAAAATTTCATGACTTATTTTTCCTTTTTAAAATTTAAAATTACACCCCAGAGTTTTAGTTATTCTACAAGTGCACCCTGAGTTAAAAATGGTTGTGAAATATTGCTTTAGACTGTCAGTGATCCACGGTTACTCCTTGATATATCATTAGGAATTTTTGGTTTCCAGCTTCCATCAGAGAAAATTTCTTCAGCATCATTTAAAAAATATTGTTCCCCTCTCCAGAATTACATAACTTATCCCTAAAATCTATTCTTTTTAAGATTAGATACTTTTCAGTCAACATTTTTGTACATGATTTTATTTTTTTCAAAATGGAAACATCAGATATTAAAATACTTTTTTAAAACCAAAGTTGATTTAATTTTCTCTGATTTTTTTCTCACTCAATTTCTGCAGCCAACACACCTGCCAACCAAAAAGAAATCAAACGCACTCGTAAAGAGTCAATGTCAGCAGATGGGGACGACCCCGTTGAGCGACTCCAGATGTCTGAAAAACTGATGGCTGAGCTGAACGAATCTTGGGAAGAAAAACTTCGCAAGACCGAAGCCATCAGAAAAGACAGGTAAATTAATTGGATTAAAGTTCTTTAATATGCAAGAATGAAGGAGATAACATCACCACCCCTAAAATATGGTTTTGGGGTTGGTTGATTTTAAGACATGTTAATCCCTGTTGGGTTATTTTATGTTGAATTTTTTATGGGGCACCCAGTGAGTATCAAACTCACTACTCAGTGGTAATGGTCAACTAAACTAGACTCAAGGTGTGATTTAATTAGGCCAGATGATTTTATGACATGTCAATTTTATTTATATAATTAATACTGGGTTTTTATTTCTGTAATTAATATTAGATTTTTATTTTTATTTCTATAATTAATATTAAATTTTTATTTTAATTCTATAATTAATATCAGATTTTATTTTATTTCTGTAATTAATACCAAATTTTTATTTCTGTAATTAATACCAGAATTTTATTTTTTATTTCTATAATATCTGATTTTTATTTTTAATTCCTATAATTAATATAAGATTTTTTATTTTAATTCCTATAATTAATATAAGATTTTTATTTTAATTCCTATAATACCTGTTTTTTTATTTTAATTCCTATAATACCTGTTTTTTATTTTAATTCCTATAATACCTGTTTTTTATTTTAATTCCTATAATACCTGTTTTTTATTTTAATTCCTATAATACCTGTTTTTTATTTTAATTCCTATAATACCTGTTTTTTATTTTAATTCCTATAATTAATTTTAGATTTTTATTTTAATTCCTATAATTAATGCTAAATTTTCAATTACTCGTCAAAATATAAAAATATAAAGAAGTGAAATATTAACCTTTTATTCTTGACATAATTTATCAAAATTATCATAAAGATGTTAATATTTGACAAGATTTCTTTTTTTATCTTTAAATACAGATTCCATTTTTTTATCCTAAATATGCAGATGAAAAAAATGTTTTATGGGATATTTTATTTATTTTTTAAAAACTTTGCAGGGAGGCTGTTTTGGCAGAAATGGGTGTTGCCCTTCGGGAAGACGGTGGCACTATTGGTGTCTTCTCACCTAAGAAGGTAAGATGTATGAAAATTGTCTACTTGATAACCCTTCTGAATATCTGAGCATGTTAATGAGATGAATAACTGATGACAGGATTTGAGCAGGGTCAAGCAATTGATCTTGCACAATGTAAGGAGTGAGAAGGCCATGGATTTGTGTGTTTATGTGTGTGTGTATCTCTCTCTCTCTCTCTCTCTATATATATATATATATATATATATATATATATATATATATATACACACACACACACAGAGTTCATAGTTTGAATCCACCCCCAGAATTAGCATGGTATGAACTTGACAGAAGAGTGGAACCTTTCCATCCCAAAAGTGAAAAAGAGCTCTTAGAATCATTAAAAAAATGAATGGAATCAATTACCAAAGTTATACTTTGAGAAACTTTTGCAACGAATGCTAAAAATTTGTGCTGCAGTAATCAAGGCTAAAGGAGGATATTTTGACAAGAGCAAAATTTAATCACAAATTTCATTTTTTTTCTTTTTGTTATAATAAAATTTCTAATAAAAATCATGTCTCACTTTTTTTTAACCATGTATAATAATTTTCTCTTATTTAAAGTACAAAACAACTGCTTTTTGGGGCCAGTTTAAAAAAAAAAAAATTACCAAGGGTGGCCTCAAACTTTTGAACTGTAGTGTGTCTATTTGTGTGTATATATATATATATATATATATATATATATATATATATATAATTATTTTTATATAAAAAAAATAAAAAAAATTATAACATAAGTATGTTATAAAATCACTACAAAAATAGCCATTTTGTTTCAACACACTCTGTGTCTTATCAAGTGATTACTGTTGAGCACTCTTTTAAGAATAGTAATTGTTGGTTATTGGAATTCATTCTGTATATACCAATTATATACTTGTGTATATATATATATATATATATATATATATATATATATAAGTATGCCCACAGCAGTGAAAATATTAATAATGCCTTGAATGTATATGTAAATAAATCCATTTGGCTATTTGGAGAAAGAGTTCATTTAATTATCCTTTCAATGTAGTTTGACTTTTTTTTTCTCTTGCTTTCTTTTTCTAGACTCCACATCTTGTCAACTTGAATGAAGATCCTCTGATGTCCGAGTGTCTAATTTATTACATCAAGGACGGAACAACAAGGTGAGTGTTCATTTAGAAAGTCTGTCACTTGTCATTTCACTAGGTTCCCTACTATAAGTGAAACAGTGAAAGTATATTTTAACATATCAATCCACTTAAAAACTAATCAAATGACCCAACCTAAGAATTTTTTTCTTTTTTATTTAATCCATTCTTGGTTGGTTCAATATATCTTCTGCATCGCTTTATACTATCTATAATTAAAAAGGTATTTCTTTTTCCTTATGAATTTGTATTTGAAGACTTAAAAATAGATGAAATCTTCTAAATATCAAAATAAGGAGCTTATTTTACTATCATCAAAATCAGTACTTTCACTTTTCACTTCTCTTAAAAAAATTTTTTTATTAAAATATGGCTGATGCTAACCTCCAGGAGAGCAACTCATTGTGCTTTCTTGGTTTCACATTTTCTACTGACATGAAATGGAGCAATTATATTGAATCAGTTGTAATGTCTACTGCTAGGTTTGGTTTGGTTTGTTTTACAGCATATCAACCTCAATGGGTTATTTAATGCCAACAAGATTTTTATTGCTGGTAAAAAATTTTTTGAAAAATGTATTGCTAGTAATATTTTTCCTTCAAAAATTTATTGCTGGTAATAATTTTTTACAAAGTATTTCTTGTATTAAAACCTATTTTTACACTTTCATAGTGTTTTGACCCCAGTTTGGGAGTCAAGTATTTGCCCATAACTGGGACCCTAACATGTGCTACCACCTTTGGTCAGGTTGGACCTGGGAACACCAGAAATTAAGAAGTGATTCCACACTCCTCAAAATCTGATCAAAGGCCTTTGCTGATGGATTTAGTTTATCGCCTTACTCAGGACATGGATGTAGTTTATCGTCATGCCCAGGATGGTCTACTGCTAGGAAAGTTGATTCGTGATGTCATGACAGACAATTTTTTTCATCAAAATCCATCTTGCTCATTCATACACTTACCAGTCGTCTGTGCATTGAATATTGCTGTTATATTTGGTCTGTTACTCCAGCTTTATATCTCAAGATTCTTAACAAAATCTAGAGAAGGGTCTGCAATGTTATCAGTCCTGACCTGGCATCTCGACTTTAGTCACTTTCTCACCAATGTGACATGGCTTCCCTATGTCTTTTCTAGAAATATTTACATGACCATTGTTTTAATGAGCTCTCCTACTTGGTACCTTAACTGTGTGAATTTAAATGCACTACTAGATTGGCAACTAGGTCTCATCATCTTACTGTTGAAATGGCTGGATGTAAGCAGAAGTTCTATTCTAATAGTTCCTTTTCTTGCACTTCTCTGTTCTGGTTCCTTGCTTCCCTGCCAACTACAATCTTCAAATATTTAAATGTAGTATCAATAACCATCTTCTGTCTTCCTAAATCTTGTTCTTTTATTGTCCTTTCTCCTCACTAAAGTCTTCTTATTCTCTTCCACTCCCAGTAACGCCTTGTATGGCCATATCACATTGAAACACTGATTCTTATACAATCATTGAAATTAAGCAAAATTAGGCCTGGTTAGTACCTAGATTGATGACCACTTGGGAACATCAATGTGCAGGTGGTGTAATAGATAATTTCTAGTAATTGGAGATATGTTCTCTTTAAAACTGAAATGCCTGTTTAGAATAGGGATTCTAAACATTCACGGCATTATAAAAAGATTTTTTTAAAAAAAGCTTATTAGGTAGGTTATTCACTGTTTTCCTCCATCCTCTCTTGCCTTCAATTTGCCTTGTGAGTATAAAATTTTCCAAGGCCTCATTTCTCATCATGTGACCTAGAAATTTCAACTATCTCTTTCTGATGTTAACTCTAAGTGTCCTTTTTGTTTCAATTTTCTCTGAAACTTTGTCATTGCTCACATGTTTGGTCCATGGTATCCTCAGCATCCTTCTGTAGAACCACATTTCTATTGCTTCAAGTCTCTTCTTCATCTGCAAGGAGATTGCCCAGTATTCACTGCCATATATTATGTAACAGTTCTGTACTCTTTTCTTTGTTTCTAATGAAAATTTTCTGTTTCTTGCTTAGCTTTTGGCAGGCATCTTTCACTATCCCAGTGCACCTTCAGATTTAAACTTGCTTCATTTTGGTACCTCCAATTTGTATGTTGCATGTTGGTCTGTTCCTTTTGCTGAAAACCATGCATTCTAACTTCTTACAACTGATGCTTAGTCCTTTCTTCCTGCTTTCCTTCACTACTTTTTGTGTTTCCTTTCTATATCTGCTATCAACACTGTGTCATCTGAATATCTTGTTAAGATTGTTTAATAATATTTATTGTTATCATCTCACAGTTGCATCTCTATCTTTGGGCAGAGTGCACTCAGGAGCGGCACTGTCAAAGGACAGAGTCACAACTGAGAAAAATTATACTGAGAGGTGCCCAGCCCTGGGGAACAGCTGCCCAAGGCCGCACCCTCTCATTACACCAGAGACAGGGATCAGTGCTTGCACCAAGGCCAACGCAACTGTCGTGGTGGCTCGGACGATATTTGTTCCTAGCCCAGGTGGAACACACTCAGGCTCCCCACATTAAACCAACCTTGTGTCACAACCTGACCTCATGAGGAGTGGGGTTGAATAAATACAAAAAAAATCTTGTTCAGATTGTGGCTGCCAATAACAAATTCTTGTAGGACTTCTAATTCTCTCAGAATTGCATCACTGTATAGTTTCAATAAGTCTGGTGGGAAGACACATCCTTGTCTTACACCCCTTTCTATTTTTGTATATTTAATTCTGCTGTATACTAGTCAAGATTACTTATGATTTAATACATACACATATATGTATAATTTTTTTTTCTCCTCTAGGGTGGGCTTACCTAATGCCAAACAACCCCCGGACATTCAACTGAGTGGTACTCATATCAAAGAAGAACACTGTATGTTTGAAAACATCGATGGTAAGTCACAAGTCTTAGTGTAATCTTTTCTTGTGGTACTATTTGTAGTCACATTTGCATCTCCAAAATACAGGTAGGCAGAAGATGTGTATATGTCTGGTATGTGTAGCAGTAATATATTTCCATTGGTTGAAAACTTGGCATTTTTAAATGAAAATCTTTAAAAGGAATTCTCAGTGGTTAAGAATTAATGTAATCATAATAGGCAGAAGTGAGCTATTATTGTACAGGGTGTGATCTATGAATTGTCGCCACTTTAAATTTTTAATTTTGTGCATGCACATGGTTTGTTTTTGATTTTGTTGACTGCAGAGTATAGTTGGGTCAGTTGGGCACCATCTGTGAGAAAAAGAGCATCATGAGGCAATTCACTCCACCAGAAATTTGGGAATGGCATCCTGTACTGCTTGGCATTCTTGCTCCAATACAGACATTTCAGAGTGTTTGGGTGTCAATCTGAGGACAGTGCTGAAAGAGTTGGATGATATATCCAGTCAACATCATGTTATTTGGAGTGATCACTAGTGATGATGACGTTATGCCTCTATTCATCTTCCCGCAAAGGCTCAGACTCAACACAAGGGCCTACATCAAGTACCTTGAGAAGGTAGTGCTGCTCTAGGTCAAGAGGGTGACTGCTAAAAGACCCTCTCTCTCTCTCTGGCAACAGGACTTGATTATTAAGTGTGGGGTGCAGTTGATCAAGAGACCAACAAAACTCATTGTAATACTAAAGGCAAAGATTATGTTACCAACTTAAACAAGGAGGCTGCCCAGAAGAGTTACAGGAGATTCTGAAGTCATCTGGTTGAAGCCAGTGGCAATTTCATTGAATAAATTTAATCTTTAATATCTTAAGATATTTTTTGTGTAATTTTGGTAAATATATCTGTTAAAATGAGATGTCAGTGTTATTTTCATTTTTGCATCAATTAGACAACAGTTTATACATCACAGTGTATATAATAGAGATAACCACTTTGGGGTTCAATTTAAAAAATTACCATGGATGGCCTCAAACTTTTGAAGTGTAGCGTACATCCAGACTAAAGAGTTGTTTACCAAATCTCAAAATGGGCAGCTTAGAGGAGGTGCAGAAAAGTCATACTCTCATAAACCATATTTCTTATCATCAAGCAAATATAGTACTTTGAAAACCTGTAAAACCCAATAGTTTCACAAGAGGCTAGGTAATCATGTGATGGTATATATATATATATATATATATATATATATATATATAATGCACACATCAGAACCCAAAAATCAGAATTATAACCTTACCTTTATGTGATATTCTCACTAACCATGAAGAAACACTTACAGTATTAGCATAAATTATACTACTGTACTTATTATTAATAGAAATGAAGAAGAATTTTAGTACATTCCATCATGCATTTATTGAAAATTTTTTAGTTGTTTTTCATGGAGCAACATTTGCATATACAATAAATTCATAATAGCTACAAAGAAATTTACTGCTATCAATGAACACTGGTATATATGGTAATAGAAAAACAACAGAAATATCATACTTGTTGGTAAATGAAATCCCAACCCTTACATGCAGAAAAATTCCAATACCTGTATATCAACAAAAACACACAAAGCAAACAGCAATATACCAGTCAAAGCAAATATTTCTGTAAAATCTGATATTTCTACAAAACAAACAGCAAAACATTGTGCAATTCCATAAATTTCATAATTTCCTGAGTGAATTTTTGTTATATAGGAATAAATTGTTGCTGACACTTGAGTTTGAACATAAATTGCCAGTGAGCAAACACAGGTGATCTCATCATTGAATTAAGTAGATCATTCATTTCTAGTTCATCCTTTATTGATATATGGATTGCTATTCTCTATCAGTCAGTCACTTATGTGCCATGTGTGATACATGTGTAGGTGATCATGTATCGAAAGATACATGACTGACGAAGCAGATTTTTTCCTACAGTAGGTTGCCATTTCATTCTGTGGTAGACCAGTTACCATCCAAGGCTCTAGAACCCGGTCTGTCCTGATATTTACCCATAGGTAGGGGGAGAAGAAGAGGATCCATACCTTTCTGAAGGGTATTAGCATGTAAGTGAATGCAATGGATTCAACTGGGGTTTGAACTTGGCTCTCTGATTTCTCAATACGAGCAGCTATCCAGTACTCCACATTTTTCTATACTGATCACTATACAGATTACTATTCAGTGGTTACTTTTTGAGCAGGTATTATCAAGCAAATACTATTGCTATTATTTTCAGGTACAGTAATGGTGATACCATGCAATGTCTTCTGACAATTTTTTTCTTGCTATTATTTTCAGGTACAGTAACAGTGATACCATGCAATGCAGCCATGATATATGTGAATGGGCGGCAGGTGACCGAAGCCACTGTTTTAAAAGTAGGGTCGCGTGTAATCCTTGGAAAAAATCACGTATTCAGATTTAACCATCCTGTGCAAGGTGAGACTTCATAATGAAATTCTTTTCCCTATCTATATTTCTGTTTGCCGACATGTTTGATTTTTATATCTGCATAATGTGTTGTTTACACTTATGACCAACATTTAAGTTTATATCTCTCCTCTACATATATGTTTATATCTCCCCCTGTTTGTATATATCTCCCTCTAGAAATATATGTTTATATCTCTCCCCTACATGTATGTATATATCTCCCCCCTTACATGTATGTATATATCTCCCCCCTTACATGTATGTGTATATCTCCCCCCTTACATGTATGTATATATCTCCCCCCTTACATGTATGTTTATATCTCCCCCCTTACATGTATGTGTATATCTCCCCCTACATGTATGTATATATCTCTCCTTTCTCTTTTTGCCTGCTTTTCTCTCTCGTTCTTTTTTTGTTCCTTCTTTTCTACAATATGTATTCTGATGAAGTTTTTTTAGAGAACAAAATATGTTACACAGAATTTATCCATTGTCATTCAGTTACCTAATATTGTGCTGATGTATAGAAATTTACTTATCATATTCCATATATATATATATATATATATATATATATATATATATATATATATATATATATGAATTTACATGCCCTTACAATAATACAGGTATATCTTGAATTACATCATTTTGAGTTAAGTTGTTCTTGACTATATGTCATTTGTCAAAAAAATATATGGAAAAATAAAAATCAAGTTTAAGTCATTTTATTTGACTTCAAGTCTGTCCGCCACAAATATTGAAGTTGTAATATCACTAGAAAAGTGTTAAAAGCATATAAAATCATTTTACTGTACAATAAATGAGAATAAAAATATATAAAGTCATATTAAAATATGTATGTTTACAGTAAATGTTAATATAATCATCATAAATCCTAGAGAACAAAATGTAAAAACATCTGTGACTCTGTGTTGTCATCTTATTTAGTGGTCTTTAAGGCTATATCGTAAGGCTATATTGCTGATAAATTATTTTATTCGGAATACTGTACATACTTAGAGATACTGTAATTGGTAATGGGGAGTGTTTATTTGCAGTTTATAGTGTGGTTATTTGGACTTAAGTTGTTTTTAGACCTAAGTCATGACCTCTGGAACCAATTAACGATGTAGGGTGAGGTATACCTGCATAATGAATATACATGTTCCTAACAAAAACAAATTCATGAATAATAATTACATCAGATATACACCAGTACATGCCTTTCAAGAAGGCTTACTTTGCGTCTCTCAGATCTTCAACCCATTAGGACTTATTTAAACACACTCAGAGACCTACAAACCTCTGTTCACAACGCTTTTGTGGAAAATACAACCATAATAGCTTCATCTACAAAAAAAAAAAAAAAAAAAAATTAAAAATAATGGAAGCATTAATAATAAAAAAAAGAACCAGCCAACTTTCAATAATTTCTATTATGAAGATGGCTACAATGTGCTAATCATGCTTGGAAATTAAGAATAACATTCTCATCCTTATATATGCACATAAAAAAATTTTTTACATATTCAGTTAAACAAAAAAAAAATTCTTGATAATGGTTAATAGATTAGCTGAAAATGTTTGGATCCACAGATCATTTGGACAGTTTTTACACACTATATGTTCAGAAAAGAAATCACTTGTACGAATGCAAGAAAAATTTAATAAAAGCCTAATTGCAGTTTCTTGTCAGTTGTTTTCAATAAAATATATATGGTGAATCAAAAGTAATGCCCAATTTCAGTTTTTATGTCTGTCAGTTGATTGTTAGTTTACCATTTGTATTTTGGTGTAAAAATAGGCAGAAATGAATGAAAGACATTTTCATCCAACCATTTATTAAGGGAGAAATTATTATGGAACTTATTAAAGAATTGCAATGTTCAAAGTGCATGCCTCATGATCAATGCAGAATTGCTGTCAGGCAAGAACAGAGTGGTGCACACTCAATATCCATTTCCTCAAACTTTGCAGCAATTTGAGCCTTCAGTTTCTGAATGGTACAAGGGTTTTCATGATAAACAAGGTCTTTAATGGAGATCTCCAAAGATAGAAATACAGAGGTGATAACTCTGAGGAGTGTGTTAACCACTCAATCAAACTATGGTGATTGATCCCCTTTCTAGGAATGTTTTGATAAAGCCATCAGCAAAACAAAAAAATATATTAAGGTAATAAATAATCTACAAGACAAATATTAACAATGTAACTTCCCAGAATCCAGGTACTCAATTTGACTCATCCTGTGTGCATGTAATATATATATATATATATATATATATATATATATATAGGCAGCAATACTTCCTTTATGCATGTTTCATTAAAAACAACAGACAAGGTACTATGATTAAGCTTTTTATTTAATTTTTCTTGTGTTCTAACAAGAGCTTTCTTTTCTGGACAAAGGGTGTGTAAGAACTGTCCAAATGTTTTATATTTCCAAGCCCTTTTGGCTATACCTTTAGCCATTATTAAGGATGATTTGATTTTTCAGCTTAATTGAGTTTGTGCGTTCTGTGTATGTCTTAGTGTGTGGTAGGGATGTTTTTAATTTCCGAATACGATTAGCACATTGTGGCTTTGTTCGTAGTTAATATTGTTAAGGATTGGCTTTTTCTTTTTTATTATTAAAGCTTCCATTATTTTTAGTCTTTTTTTGCAGGTGGATGCATTTAATATAATAATTTAATAATAAAAAAGAAAAAGCCAACCCTTAATATATATATATATATATAATTTTCTCTTAGTACATTATTTTTATAGATACAAATATTTAAGTAAATGCTCTGTTTATAATAAACAATATTAACAATATTTACCAGCCTGAATGTCCAAGAAATTTCATATGTGTCCTCTGAAACTCAGGTCAGTAAATATATTATTTACATTATTCAGACTACTGTCCTCATCATTGTCACCATATTTATTACAACGTTTCAGCCATTGTACACTCCGGCCTTCTTCAGGTAGTTGGAACGTCGAACTGAACCCTTTATTTCGCTCACTGGGGTAGACTGTTCTAGTTCTGCGTGCCATGTTTAATGGATATCAGTTATTAGTTATCTCCTGTTAATTTTCCTCTGAAAGTTCTCCACTGCCTTAACCGGGTATTGAACTTGCACTCTTTGGGTCCTGTCACTGGATCTAACCAACGCCTTTATCCACTGTGCCATGACATCTGTGTATGAATTTCTGGGTATTATAAATCTAATGTTATCAGCACAGTCTACTCCAGTGAGCAAAATAAAGGGTTCAGTTTGACATTCCAACCACCTGAAGAAGCGTTGTAATAAATATGGTGACAAAGAGGAGGACAATAGTCTGAATAATGTACATAATACCTCATCTCAGAAATATAGACAGATACCAGTAAATATAGTTAATACTGTTTATTATAAACAGAGCATTTACTTAAATATTTGTATCTATAAAAATAATGTATAAACAGAAAATAAACATTGTAATAAATATGGCGACAAAGATGAGGACAATAGTCCGAATAATGTAAATAATGTACATAATACCTCATCTCAGAAATATAGACATAAACAGAAAATATATTAAAATAACTGTTGGATTTAGTCCATTTCATTATATATATTATATAGTACAGTTTATCAATAGATCTGTTGGTACATAATCCAGGTGGATCCTAGTAATATCAGATATTAAAACTGATCCACAGAGAGAGCTCAATGTATTTATTATAACAGAGATATATATTATACAGCAAAAAATCCCAAATCACCTCATGTGGGTATAGTCTATTTAAACTGGCATAACCTTAATCATTTCACCCCAAGCAAGGCAATAAAGCCACTAAGATGGTGTTAATGACTGTGAGAAAATATGAGAAAAATAAACATTAAGGAGAGAGAACAATAAAAGAACAGAAATTAAGAAGCCAGAAAATAATGATTGACACTGCATTTAAATTTTTGAATATCAAAATTGACTGGAAAGCAAGAAGACGGAAGAGTTCCACAAACGAAAAATGTGATATAAATAACTGTTAGCATAGAACTTATGGTTAAATCCAGCCATTTCAACTGTAAAATGATCAGACCTTGCCACCTGTCTAGTACTGCACTTAAATTCATAAACTCTAGGTACCATAGAGGAAAGTTCATCAGAACAATTATCATGAAGATATTTATAGAAAAGGCACATGAACGCTATATTATATTGTTCTAAAGAATTGTTAATACAATATTCCCTCACAAAAAATAATTATTCTTACAATTCAAAATATCTTTCAGCTTTATATAACCCACAAAGGGTTGATAAACCATGAAAAAAAATCAGTCAACAATTGGGCAGTAGTCTTTAATGCAAATGGTCAAAGTAATAGGTTCTTGATTAATACCTCTTAATTAATTGATTAATTTGGATATATATCTTCTTTTTTCTCCATTTTCAGCACGTGAGAGCCGTGCATTGATGACAGAAAGTATTCCTGATATTGAATCATGTAAGTCTTATTTTCAACATTTATTGTCTAAATGTTTATTCAGTGTTAATTTTTCTCTGACACTTAGTAAGGTTTTTACTTATTATCTTCATGAATGATATATGAAACCAGTTTGCTAACCACTGATCTAGACATGACAAGTATTCAAGACTTGGCTTAGTCTATCACATGGCCACAATGGCAAGAGATCCAGTGATGATCAAATTCTCTTATTTTAACATACAAACTATTATTCTCTAATTGGTGCCTTCATATTCATAATGTGTATTGTCTTTGATAACATTTAAGCATTGTCCAAATTCAACTTATTTATTCATAATTTTTAATGTTTATGACTTATGAAGCACAGTGTAATAATGGATAGTGGCTCAGATTGAGGAATCGGAGAGCCAAGTTCAAATTTCATTCAAGTTCACTATATTCACTTACATGCAAATACCCTTGGGAAAGGTATGAATCCATCTCTTCTCTCCAGTCCATCTATGTGTAAATAATATGATAGACTGGGTCCTATAGCTTTAGGTGGTAACCGGTCTAGGAGAAGGACAATTGTGAATTCAAAACCTGCAAATATGGGTTAAATAGTAGGGCAGTTTGTGCTCTGTAGCCTTGATTGGCAACCACTCTAGAAGAAGGGCAACTCTGAATTCAAAACTGTATGTAGCTCTGGTTAAGCACATACTATGCAGGTAAGGAAGGGATCGTGGAATTTTCAGCGATTTTATGATTCTGACTATGGTTGACCTCCATCCATCCATGACTTATGGCTATCTTATATAAAAGCCAATGATCTGTGTGTGTGTGTGTGTGTGTGTGCGTGTGTTGGTTTAAATGTCCTAAAGCAAACAGATATTTAAAATATACATGGCCACTTCACTTAACAACTCTCCTGTTTAATGACCCCCCCCCCCGGCCACTGGACTTACGACCAGCTAAAAACAGCTCATAAAATGAGATAAAAAAAATCCAAACAGTTGTACATTGTACAACAACTTTGATCATCATTGTTTTTTCTTGCTTCAAAATAAATAAATAAATAAGTAAAAAAAAAATGACTTGTCCTGTATTTACAGAATGTGAACAAAGTAATGCACAGAAGAGAGAGCTTATTTTTTAATTTGTTTATTAAGTTAACTGTTCAAGGTTTTATAAACATTTAGAGACAAATTAGAAAAAAAATGTTACAAATTGTGCAAAAGGGATATTGAATCTTTCTAAATCTGGTTGACATGAAACCAGAGTAGCTACAACCTCATACTTGACAATTGGGTCATTCAAACAGAATCCAGTCTTTGAAGAGTGACTTTACATAAAAATTCAGTAACACTATTATTATTTTAACATACAACTTGGCACTGACAAGGCAGGTAATGTATCCATTATGCTAGCATACTGCAGCTTTTTTAAAAAAAAAAAAAAAGGACAAAATGTTTGATTTTTCATCCATGGTCACTCTAAAGCAGTGTTTCTCAACATTTTTACTCCTGTGGAACCTTTGAAATAGTTTTCATGTCTCAGGGAACCTCTGTATAGAAATTATTATATACCATTATTAATATCTATCTCTTTTATATTTTTTTCATAGTTCAAATGTTAAACAATATATGAACACCAGCTATGCATCCTGTACTTGAGTGAGTCACTCAATAATACATAGATCTGCTATATACATGTCCTGTCTACTAAACAGTGTAGGCAGTTTCACACGGACACTGAATAGGCATTGCTAAATACATTCCCTATAATTATTATAATTTTAAATAATATAAGATGATTACATATAATAACCAAGTATTTTTTAACACTGCACCATACATGTATAGTAAAATTACAAATATAAGATTAAACAAAAATTACTCAAAAAATGCTTTATCCTATTTATTGATGTTTCTCATGGAACCTCTAGTGACCACTTGTCATGGAACCTCTAGTGACCTCTTGTCATGGAACCTCTAGTGACCTCTTGTCATGGAACCTCTAGTGACCACTTGTCATGGAACCTCTAGTGACCTCTTGTCAAACCCTGTGACCACTTTTCAGGGAACTTAGTCAGTTGTCATGGAACCTCTGCTCTAAAGTCATGGAACCTCTAGTGACCACTTGTCATGGAACTGTAGTATCCAATGGATTTAGTGACCACTTGTCATGGAACCTCTAGTGACCTCTTGTCAAAACCTCTGTGACCACTTGTCATGGAACCTCTAGTTGATAAAACCCTTATGTTTCAGGTTCTTTGATTATTTTTTTTTGCCACTCCATGGAACTGTATATCCAAGATTTTACACATATGGAATATAAATTATGACAATTGTTCTTTGATTATTTTTTTTTTTATCCAGTTATTAATTTCATATGGAATATTAGTGTAAGTTAATGTATTTTTGTTAACTTTTAATTTTGTAATTACTTGAATATATATTTATTTTTTGTTAATTTTAACCAAAAAGTTTGTTGTGTTAAATTGTTAGATTTTTAACTAAAAAGTATGTTGTATTAAATTAATTAATGGAAGTTAATATTTTCTTTTGAATTTTTATTACATTTTAACAAGTAAAGATGATGAGACAAAGTGGAAAATTTATTAACAATGCGATTCACCGAGAGCATATGCTATCTTTGACTTCCTCAGGTTAGAGTGAAAGAAAGACAAAACTGTATGTAAGGAAAAATGCCTTGGGATTCCTGATGATAATTAATAACCAAAACTCAAATAAAATTAGATTAGTTTATCGCTTCCAACCTCCAAACTGAAGAGAGTGTCTGTTTGCTTGTTTTATCTACACCTATATTAGAGCTGTTTGGTATTGTATTTTCCTCACATACATTTTTGTCTTTCTTTCATTTCACTTCAGGAAGCCAAATACGCTCTTTGTGAAACACTGCGTTAATAAATTTCCTACTTTGTTTCTTCGTCACTTTTGTTTAGGATACTGGCATACCTCCTAAAACACACATTTTAATGTGTGTGTATGTATACATACATACATACATACATATATATATATATATATATATATATATATATATATATATATATATAAAAAACAATGATTTAAAGTTTAAAATCTGTCGCCACTTTAAATATTTTTTTTCAATTGATGGTTCATATAACTCATTTCATTATTATTATTACAACTAGCATAGTACCTATCAAATGATTTTATGGAAGATCAATCACAGTCTGGATCATAATCATTGGGAACTCTACAGTGCAGTACTATTATTTATTTTTTTTTTTTACAATGATGTTCACTCTGTGCACACTGAGCCACTCAAGGGTTACAGAGTAAGAGACACAGTTTATGGGGATATGTGGAGAAGGTAATGATTAACCTTAGACTTGAACAGGTCAAGAGTGTAGCGATCAGAGAAGTATCATTTTGAGAGTCAGTTTGTGGGAAGAATCTTCCCAAGTGGAACTTACATCTCACCAATGGAATATAAATTGAATGAGTGGTGGTGGCAGGGGGTTACTATAATGTGCATAGCATGGCAGGTATTTGCTGTGAAGATTATAATTGGTAGAACTAAGGAATGTAGGTGGACTAAACACTTCAACAGTTAACCTCAGACTTGAACAAGTTAAGATTGTAATGAGCAAGAAAGTATCATCTTGGGAGTCAGTTCCACGAAGCAGCAGTTTGTAAATTATAGATTTATAAAAATCTGGTATTATTAGTTTCTACAATTTTTAGTTTTGTATTTTTTGGATGATGGTCATTAATGGGTTAATTAAGAAAGTATTAATGACATACTGCACAAAATAATAATGTTGAATTTTTAAAAAAATCAATCAAAATTTTCAAGTCACACAAAATTTCTTAATTTTCCATATTCTGTATGGAAAGAGTCAAGGCTAGTGCAATACTGATTGGTGACTCCAAACAGTGTTTTGTAATCCTCACTGTCTTATCAACATTTGCTTTTTTCTACCTATATTTACATACGTTATAAATTAAACTAAGTACAACTGACTCTTAGAAAATGAAACATTTTAATGGATTCTGATTTAATTCTGGGTTCTTTTTCATCCAAATCTTTGAATTTGTTTTGCTAATTAGAATGAGTCTAAAAAAAAAAAAACAATATAAAATTCACTACTCTTTTTTTTATCAATAATGTTGAATGTGTTAAAATTCAACTTTTTAACAAGAAAAATCACAAGTTGATGTTAAAAATTGCTGCAAAACATTGCTGATTTATATAAGATTGATTGATGTATTATGACGTGTCTCTAATTTGTATTTAGATGCACTGAATTTATTTTCAATTTTTCTAGTTGAATTGTTTGCCTATATTGTATATGGTCCATTATTGTACATAATTATGTTATGTATAAAATGTGTATTTTATATGAATACTACCTCATGAAAATTGAAATGTATTAGAGTGTGGATCCCACAAGACCCTTGCACCAGCTCTGGAAACAGTAATGACATTAAAAGCACACACAAAAAGATTACTAAAATCTGAAATTATCTTTGCTTCCCAAGAAATACAATGATATTTATTGTAAGAGTTCTTTAATTAACACTTTTTTTCTACATGCATTTGTATCATTTTTCATTAATTTTAAATATCAAGTTTATTTCATCTTTTCTCTTAATGGCTTACAGCCATATCTCATTGAAATACCGATTCCTGCCTGGTCAGTAACTAGATGGCTGACCACTTGGGAATACCAGGTGTTGGATATGCAGGTGGTGTAATAGATAATGGCTTGGAATTGTTAATCAGAGAGCCAAGTTCCAGTTCCCATTGGTTTTGTTATATTCACTTATACACAAATACCTTTGGGAAAGATATGGATACACCACTTCCAAACCCCACCCCACCCCCGCCAGCTATGATTTAATTAGTCAAACTTGTATCACAAAATCTTTATTATTGCACTCGCTAAAAGAAAAGTTCTTAAAATCTAAATATATTTTCTGGCTTTACATGACCTGCAAATGGTTGATAACCCATAAAAAATTAATCAATCAATTTCTCTTACTGAATGGAATATAGAAACAATAAAAATCATACTGTTCAAATTTTGATTATATACATATAATGTATAATGGCTGGCCTTTCATATCCAAGTATGCCTGTCTACTAGGGTAGCTAACCAGTCCTTGTTCCAAAAGCCTGCTCAGGCACATTTGTGTTTGTTCAACACCCACAAAGCCCATCTGTGGTTTATACTGCAACTATACTGAGTAGACCTTACTTACAGTTTCTGGGAGAGAGCACATTATCTTCTGTGATCAACAGTGTGAACAAGACCAGTACATTCAACCTCACAGTCATGACAACTTGTGCTAACACAACCAAAATATTTCTGTCTACCCAGTTTCATTCACAAGGCTTGGATTAATCTGTGGGTGGTTTTCAGGCACTTCCCAAAGGTGCTGCATGCTGGGGGGAAATTCCCAGGCCAAGAACATCAAGAATTCACCTTCTTAACAAATCAACCATGGTGGCAAGATTCAAACCCAGGTCTCATGGTCAGAAAGCAGATGTTCTAACTACTCAGCCATGTCCCCATTTCATATAGATAGATACATTATACAAGAAGAGATGGAAAAGTACAACAGATGAAGATGGGTGTTAAAAACAAGAAAGATGAGGATATTAGTTTATTTATTTGTTTTTATTTTCAATACCACATACACATTTTTTACTCTATTTACATTCTTCAGGCTGTTATTCTCATCTTTACTGTCACATTCATGATGTTTTGGCTGTTGCATACTCCAGTCTTCTTCAGGTGATATTTGTTAAAATTTTGAACTGAACCCTTTATTTAGTCTGTGGGGGTAGATTGTTCTAATTTCATATACTGTGCCTTTGGACATCTCAGTTTTAGTTTATTCACCTTGATAACTCTCCAAGTTTTTGTTCTCTCTAATGAGATATCCAAAAAGGCACAGTTTAAAATTCCAATGTATATCACCTGAAGAAGGCTGGAGTGTACAACAGCCGAAACATTGTGAATGTGACAATAAAGATGAGGACAACAGTCCGAACAATGTAAATAGTGTAAACAGTCACGACACCTCATCTCAGAAATATAGACAGATGCACATGTTTGTCTGAATTACTAATTTGAGTCTCTCTGGATCAGCATCGCCTCATCTCAGAAATATATCTATCGGTACAGATGCACATGTTTGTCTGAATTTCTGAGATGAATCCTCTCCCTGAGGGCTGGCTGCAGAAATCTCATGCCATGTATGCACTGAAACCCTTCCCTGTCAAAGAAAAGGTTTGATGCCTTCCCAAATCAAACCTGTAGGCCCACTGTGGTGTCCCCCCATTTTTTCCCTTTTAAAATGGGATCTTGATTTGGGATGCGACCTGCATCATTTTGGTCATAATTTGATCTCCAGGTGACAGACATGAAAAAAAATAAAATCTCCTGTGGCAATAGAAAGGGGTTATTGGCAGATGATGTCCTTCCAGCAATTGCATTCTCTTAAGCCCTCGTGATGAGGTCATCACTGGCCATGTTTGCTTTCTCCATCATTGGTGGCAGTTCAAACTTGTTCTGGAATTGATGACTATATTTCTGAGATAAGAGGGCTGCTGTTGAAATCTCATGCCATGTAGGCACTGAAACCATTAGATCCACCTTGTCCCTCCTGTTTTCATGATCTTGACAGAGCATCGGTATAGCCTCCAGTGACAGCTTAATCTGCTGGAAGTCCTGACAGATGATGTCCTTCCAGCAACTGCAAACCAGATTCTGAGATGTGACCAAACCAGATTCTGAGATAAGGAGTTATCCTTATTTACAGTTAATATCCTTTACCTTTATTATAATCACAACAATTCAGCCATCATGCCTTCCAGCCTTATTCAGGTTTCCTGCCAATCCAGTTAACCTTCAGGGAATTTTGAATTGGACCCTTTATTTTTTATCTACAGGAATAGGTTGTTCTCATTCTTGTCTAGGAATGGCTTGGTCAGTGGAATGGAAACAAGCTATCTCCATAGATTAGATAACTGGAACAGTTCAAAATCTCTTGAATCTTACACAAATTGACAGACACCTGAGGAAGGTTGTAGAATGGCTGAAATGTTGTGATAGTTGCAACAAAGATGAAGACCTTCGTCTGACTGCAAATAATGTAAAGAGATGTTTTGCACTATGTTGCTGAGAAATAATTTGGGCAACTGTGTATCTTCAGGCTCTATTGGGTACAATGGGTAATATGCTTACTTTTGAGTTTTTTTCCTGATCTTTGCTTTTTTTTTCTTTTTTGCTTACATTCCATTCTGGTTTCATTTTTACTTAACAGTGGCACAGAATCAAGAACCAGTGGACTGGACCTTTGCTCAGTTAGAATTACTAGAAAAACAAGGAATTGACTTGCGGAAAGATATGGAGCAAAGGTGAATAATGTTTTTTTTTGTTTTTTTTTTCTTATTTTATTTGTTTTCATTATTATCTCCTCTTAGAAAATATTAATTTAGTCTAGAAGAAATGAATGTAGGAACAAGTAAATGAAGGTACTTTGGAAAGTTAGCATAAATTGGAAATTAATTTGAGAAAAATCTGCAACTTCATGTAGAGAAACCTGGATCAGAGCTTCAATCAACTGGGGTCAGTGGAGGCAAATTTGTACAATTTGACCAGCAGAAGAAAAACCTAATAAAAGACCTACAACCTAATCATTGTCCCACCTAGTTTGGAGGGTACACTTTGTATTGTACTCACTATACTCTTCAGTCATACTACTCAGGCTTGCCTTGCTCGTCATTACCCCAGCACAAGATATCTAGAAATGATTTTACTGTGAACAAATGAATTGAATATGATTTTGCTATGAAAAAATGGTTTTGAAATGATTTTACTATGAAAATATGCATTTAAAATGATTTTACTATGAAAATATGCATTTAAAATGATTTCACTATGAAAATATGCATTTAAAATGATTTTACTATAAAAATTCATTGGAAATTATTTTACTATGAAAAAATGCATTGAATATGATTTTGCTATGAAAAAATTCATTAGAAATGATTTTACTATGAACAAATTATTGAAAATAAGTTGCTTGATTTTTATAGCAGATTATTTGTTATTGGTTGGGTTATTTAATTTTGAATTTTGTATATGGTACTCAGTGAGGATTGTATTCCATTACTCAATCAATAGTAATGATCAGCCAGATTTGCCTCACTAACAATTATTTCACACTGAAGGGCCTTGGGATTTCTAAACAGAATAATTCATCTTTGAAGATTATTTCTCAATCTTTAAGTATTTATCATTTTATTCATGTTGCTTTCAGTTTCACTTTAATAAAAAAAAATATTTTAATTTTTACAAGCATTGAATAAAAGCTGTGGCTCAAACTAATATATACCTTATGTAAAAAAATGTATTTTTTCTTAAATATTTTTGTAAGATTTTTTAAAAGATGATTTTGAAGCAAATATAAAATAATAATCAGACTTTAGTTTGTCAATGAGAATTATCTACTTAGTAAAAAAAAGAAAAAAATTTAAATAATTTCTGGCACATTTTTTTAATTTTTTCTACCTCAAATGGTTGAGATCTGAATAATATATTTCTGAAAGAGCATGTTGTATGTTCATTATCTAATTGTATACTTATACTTTTACTTCTCTAGGTTGTTGGCATTAGAAGAACAATATCGTAAAGAGAAAGAAGAAGCTGATTTACTATTTGAACAACAAAGAAAGGTAAGTAATTTTTACAATTTGATATACAGAATCCAGACTCATGTAAAAGTTACATCTAAATTTGAAAGCAGATATTGGCATAATTCATTATTGTTTTTTATTACATTTTATATTTGAAACTAAATGATAGATTTTGTCCCAAGAAGGATGGTGGACTTTTTGACTGTGTGCAACTTTCAATTAATACTGCTTCTTTTATAAGATATTGATTTCAAACTCTAGATATAATACTAAAAATAGACTTTATTTACACTATTTATATTCAGACTATTGTCCTCATCTTTGTTGTTGTTATCACAATATTTCAGCTGTCATGCCCTCCAGACTTCCTCAGGTGTATATCAATCTGGATAACCTACAGGGAATTCTAAACTGAATCCTTTATTTACCACTGCTCTATTTTATTTAGTACTGTTCAGTTATTGCTTGCCTATTTCCACTGAATGCAAGTACACACTACTTGACCTAGGGATTGTACTCACAATCTATGTCACCAAATTCACCATGCTTTTACCCACTAGGTCATTGTCCCATACAATTTGCTTAACCTGCCTGCTGATTAGGTTGTAACGGCTGCTGCTGGCTGTAATGTTTTGACTGCTGTTGAAGACTTGCTGTCATTTGTCTTTCTATCTTTATAAGTGGTTCTCATATTGTATTTATGAGGACAATAGTCTGATTATATATAATGTAAATAATAACTCCTCATCCCAGAAATTCAGACAAAGATTAAAAATAGACTGTTGTGAAAAAAACATTTATTGAGTTACTCTAAAGGTACTTGCAAAGATAGTAAGTAATCCTTTTATTTTGTAATTGTTAACATCAGCATAATTTTGCTAACATGAGGATTTCTGTAATTACACATGGTATTACTTTCGCCTTCCAATACAGGTACTTTGTCTTCAGTACACAAATATTTTAAAGTGCATTTAGTAGGAATTCTTTGCATTTTAAATGAAGCTATTCCATTGAAACATTTGGTTTATTTACTTTTCAAAGTCTTACATTTGATGACATCACTAGTTCCAGATTCAGTAAAAATTTAAAATAAAAGATGAAAGCCAAAAGAATAATTCAACAAAGTTTCAAGCATTTTAAGCCATTATTTGGCACACATTATAGCATTTTAAAGCAAAAAAAGCACCCACTGCCCTTTCGTAACACCAAAATATCCTGTCTGAGATTGGGTTGAAGTAAAGATGTTTCTCTTGTCACATTTCTTGGCCCTGTGTCAAACTTGATTCTCATTTTATTTATTTTATTTTTTTATGAATTTATATCTAAACTTGTCAGACTTACATGGTATGAAAATTTAATACCCAGAATGACCCTGTGAAAGAAAAAATAATTTACCTGGTCAACATTGGCTACTGTTACTTTTAAAGTACTTCCCTTGTGAATGATATGCTTTGTGAGATGATAGTGCCATTGCTGGAAACATTCTTGGAACTCATTTTCCAAGATAACTTTCAGTAATTTATCATGTACAGAAACATTGTCATGCTGGAGAATCCATTTGCCAGGCCAGAGTTCAGGTGTTTTTTCCTCCAAACAGATTCTCATAACCATTTCAGTACTTCCAAATAAATGCTCACATCTGTTCTTTTTGTTTTAGGCTGTCTCTTGTATCTGTGTGCATATTTCCCTATCCTTTCTTGAACTGCCTGTGCCACAATTCTCTTCATTAGTTTTCTCAGCATGTTGACTTACAGCCATATTACTTTGAAACACTAGTTCTCATACAATCACCAAGGTTAAGCAATGTCAAGACTGGTCAGTACCTAGATGGGTGACCGCTTGGGAATACCATCTCCCATAACATAAGCTTGGATGTGCAGATAGTGCAATGGATAACAACTTGGAATTGGAAATTGAAGAACCAAATTCCAATTCCAGCAGAAGCCTATTTTCCTGAAAAACTGTCTCAAGAGAAACATTTTATAAATCTGTATAATAAAAATTTACAAAGTTCAAGTCTCCATGTACACACACAGCCTCCTGGCAAAATCTTTGGGGCAGGAATAGTCAGTTGCTTTTATAGTAGTTTGTAGGACTCTTCACAGTTTGCTATTTGTGAAGCATGGAAATGGATTAGCATATTTTGCTATGCATTCCATTCCACTCAGTAACGCTTGAAACACGATTGGTTAGCAGAAGTTAATTTACATGAACCCACTGACCTCATTCAGTGGTGAAGCATTTTTCTTTGTTCTTTTCTGCAAAAGCAGCATGCAACATGAACGTGTATTGACAGTTTGTGTATGTCACCATTTTCTTCTGTACAAAAACTCAACTGACAGTAACACTGTTTGGTCAAATGATTCCACTATGGAAACGGCTAATCTTATTACATTTAGTATTTTATTAATTTCAAAATTTTATTAACATGAGTATTTTATTGGTTAGTCTTTGCTTAGTGTGATTTGCATAAGTAAATAATCTGAAACTGACAACAATTGAGAGTGCAGACAAGATTTTCAACCATATTTATTTGCTATACATTTGTGACGTTTCTTTCAGGATTATGAATTCCAAATCCATGCCCTACAAGAGCAGGTAGAAAGACATTCCATGATGTCCAGCTGTACTACAGAGGACTTGAATTATGAAGAAGAAACAGAAATGGGTTAGTAGTCAATTGTTTGTTCCTTATTCCACTTTTTTGGGAAGAAATTTTAACTGTTTATTTTTTTTTTCTAATTGAAAAGAAAAGATGAGACTTTATAATAAGTAAGATAAAAAAAGATGAGACATTATAAGTAAGATAAAAAAGATGAGATATTATAATAAGATAAAAAAGATGAGACATTATAATAAGATAAAAAAGATGAGACATTATAATAAGTAAGATAAAAAAAGATGAGACTTTATATTAAGTAAGATAAAAAAGATGAGACTTTATATTAAGTAAGATAAAAAAGATGAGACATTATAATAAGTAAGATAAAAAAAGATGAGACATTATAATAAGTAAGATAAAAAAAGATGAGACTTTATATTAAGTAAGATAAAAAAGATGAGACATTATAATAAGATAAAAAAGATGAGACATTATAATAAGATAAAAAAGATGAGACATTATAATAAGTAAGATAAAAAAGATGAGACATTATAATAAAAAATAAGATAAAAAAAAAATGAGACTTTATAATAAGTAAGATAAAAAGATGAGACATTATAATAAGATAAAAAAGATGAGACATTATAATAAGATAAAAAAAAAAGATGACATTTATAATAAGTAAGATAAAAAGATGAGACATTATAATAAGTAAGATAAAAAAAGATGAGACTTTATATTAAGTAATGAGACATTATAATAAGATAAAAAAAAGATGAGACATTATAATAAGTAAGATAAAAAAAGATGAGACTTTATATTAAGTTTATAATAAGATAAAAAAGATGAGACATAATAAGATAAAAAGATGAGACATTATAATAAGTAAGATAAAAAAGATGAGACATTATAATAAAAGATAAAAAAAATGAGACTTTATATAAAGATAAAAAAGATGAGACATTATAAGAAGATAAAAAGATGAGACATTATAATAAGTAAGATAAAAAAAAAGATGAGACTTTATATTAAGTAAGATAAAAAGATGAGACATTATAATAAGATAAAAAGATGAGACTTTATATTAAGTAAGATAAAAAAGATGAGACATTATAATAAGATAAAAAAAGATGAGACATTATAATAAGATAAAAAAGATGAGACATTATAATAAGATAAAAAAAGACATTATAATAAGATAAAAAATGAGAGAATAAGTAAGATAAAAAAGATGAGACTTTATATTAAGTAAGATAAAAAGATGAGACATTATAATAAGATAAAAAAGATGAGACATAATAAGATAAAAAAGATGAGACATTATAATAAGTAAGATAAAAAAGATGAGACATTATAATAAGTAAGATAAAAAAAGATGAGACTTTATATTAAGTAAGATAAAAAAGATGAGACATTATAATAAGATAAAAAAGATGAGACATTATAATAAGATAAAAAAGATGAGACATTATAATAAGATAAAAAAGATGAGACATTATAATAAGATAAAAAAGATGAGACATTATAATAAGTAAGATAAAAAAAGATGAGACTTTATATTAAGTAAGATAAAAAAGATGAGACATTATAATAAGATAAAAAAGATGAGACATTATAATAAGATAAAAAAGATGAGACATTATAATAAGATAAAAAAGATGAGACATTATAATAAGATAAAAAAGATGAGACATTATAATAAGTAAGATAAAAAAGATGAGACATTATAATAAGTAAGATAAAAAAGATGACATAATAAGTTAAAAAAGATGAGACTTTATAATAAGATAAAAAGATGAGACATTATAATAAGTAAGATAAAAAAGATGAGACTTTATAATAAGTAAGATAAAAAGATGAGACTTTATAATAAGTAAGATAAAAAAGATGAGACTTTATAATAAGTAAGATAAAAAAGAACACTACCTGAACTATTTACCTTATTTACATGCAGACTATTGTCCTCCTCTTTGTTGTTGTTATTGGTCTCCATCAGGTGCTTGTTGATCCAGGTAACCTTTAAGGAATTTCAAACTGACCGCTTTATTATTAGATTGTTCTTGTTCCACTGACCATGTGTAGGGATATTGTGTCTAGTTCTTATTTAGTACTGCTCAGTTATTGCTTGCCTGGTTTAACTAACTCAAAGTAGACACTGCCCAGTTCAAGGATTGAACTAAGAATTACTATGTAAATAAAACATCTTATGTTTTATAATATTTTGAAGATACAGGTTGGTGCAATTTTAATTTATTAGCTGGCACAAGGTTATAAGTGTGGAGCACCCTGTGAGAATCAAGATAATTACTAATGATCTATAAGTTTTGCTTATTGTACATACTATCATAAGAGGTTTTGCTGTGCAGTTCAGGAAATGGAATATGTGAACTCGGTTCCATGAAGAGCATAATCACTCTTTGAAAAGGCATGAGCTCAATCTTTCCTCTACCCTGTTTGTCATTGTTGATTATGAGCTTATAATGAGTCATGGGAAGAGAATGAAGATGATTGAAAAGATAAATAATTAATTTTCCTTCATAACTTTGTTCTTTGTCGAGCTTAACAGATGAAGGCAAAAGAAACAAAAGCATTTTATATGGGAGAAAATATTCTTATTCTTCTTCCTCATTATTATTATTATTTTCAACTGCCCATGTCCATTCAGGACATGGGCAGTTCATAGCTCTCCACAGATTCTGTTTTAATTTATTATCTATGAACTGCTATGACTTCTTGAGAAAATTAGTAATTACCCATTGCCTTCTCTTCAGGTTTGAACTCAGCGTAGTCCTTCTCCTAGACTGGCTGTTAACCAAGGCTAGAAATCCAGTCTACCTGGTTATTTAACTGATAGCTGGGGTGAGATGGGTTCATGCTTTTTCAAAGGGCATTTGTGCGAAAGTGAGTGTAAGCTAGAATTTAACCCAACTTGCCAATTCTGATTTTTGTGCTGATAACCATTACACTACCTACACATTGTTATTATTATAAAAATATTTAAAAACAAAATAAAAATAATAAATACAATAATGAAAAATATAAAATAATAATAATAAAATAAAATTTTTAAAAATAATGAAAAAAAATTAAGTCATTCCAAAGCTGACACTGAAACAAAAGGATTCTGAGATATTTTTTACACATTCAGAAGGCAAGTGTTGTATTTTGTAAATTGGAAAATAGTTTGGTCAGATAGGAGCATTACCATCAAGACTAACGTAGGTGTGTATACGGCCTGTGTCTTAACACCACTATTGTACTCTTCTCAAGCATGGGCAACATACCAGAGTATGTGCATATATATATATATATATATATATATATATATATATATATATATATATAAAAATGTGTGTGTGTATCTGTATAAATGTGCATCTGTGTGTGTATGTGCATCTCTATATGTATATGTGTGTGTGTCTGTATATTTATATGTGTGTATGTATATATGTGTGTGTGCCTATGTATATTTATATATGTGTGTGTATGTATATATGTGTGTGCATCAAGACTAAAGTAAATGTGTATAACACCACTGCTGTACTCTTCTGAAACATGGGCAACATGCCAGAGGCATATAAAATAGCTTGTATGTGTATGTATGTGTCTATATATGTGCATCTGTGTGTGTGTGTGTGTGTGTGTGTGTGTGTGTGTATGCATATGTATGTGCCTACTTCTACATGTGCATGTGTGTACACATATATGTGTGTATAAGCTCAAAGAAATGATGCCATATTTCAGTTGGTGTTCAGGATAGGTTAGACCTATCCAACAAAAATATGCTTAAAACAGAACTGGCTTTAACATCCCATAATTTTTGTGTTGGATTTATATGCCAGCAGCTTCTATTCTGTTTCATTTTTTTATGTTAAATTTCTCTTTTTTTCTTTCCCAGAATGCACCTGGAGTGACCATGAACGACAATTAGCAGTTTGGGCATTCCAAAAATGGAAGTATCACCAATTTACATCCCTCAGGGTATGTTTTTTTTTTTAAGCTTCTCCAATATTGAAAATAGAAAGGCCATTATTTAGATTTGGACTAATGTCCTCATCTTTGTTGTTATTATCACAGCATTTTAACAGTCATACCTTCTGGTCATCTTCAGGTGTTTGTAAATGTAGACCAGGCTTGCACAATTAAAACATGTAAAGAGCTACATTGATCATGGAAAATAGCTGTAAGCTGCAAGATTAAATTTTTAGCATAAATTACAGAGCATGAGCAAGATAGAAGCACACACACACACACACATATATATATATATATATATATATATATATATATATATATATAGACAGAACAGCAAGATATATAATCCGGTGTTCTTATAGATAAAAAAAAAAAAAAAAAAAAAAAAAATAAAAATACCGTAAGAATTTTAGCCATTAACAATATAATTTAAAAAAAAAAAATCTAGACGACAGGCTTTTAACGGAAGTTGTATTTCATTGAAAAATACATCCCTTCCCACGACTCAAACATAGCAATAACTGATACATTAAATTATAGTCATATTGAAAACCCAGCCACCCCTGTCTAGAAAAATAGATTTATCTGTAACCTTGGAAACATGAATTTTGTTTTAGCTGTGTATTTAAAACCCAGTAATTTTAAAAAGTTACTCCAAAATTCGCTTGAGGATGAAATGGAACTAATGTCTTTAATTTAATTGCAAAATTAAATTTGTGGCTTTTAGCTTCCGTTTTTGAAACATGGTTAGGACTGTGTAGCAAAAAAAAACATATTTTAAATCAATTAATTTATAATATATATATATATATATATATATATATATAAACGTTTTTAGTTGAAATGTGGATTTTTTATTTTAAAATATATATATTATACTCCATTTTCCATAATTCTACACACGTTTCTGGTTTTGTGGCCTTCTTCAAGCAAAAAGTAGATATTTCCACATATTATAAAAAAATTAATTTTTGCATGGTAGTCATTCAAATGTCATTCAAATGTCTTTTTGGACTATATATATATATATTATATATATATATATATATATATATATATATATATATATATATTGCATATAGTTCTCTTGTTAATATTTCGTTTCTTTCACGTATGATTAATTATGGAAAATAGAGTATAATATATATTTTAAAATAAAAAATCCACCTTTCAATCAAAAACGTTTGCAGATTATCTTTTTAATACACTTTTCTCTTGTTGGAACAACTATAACCTTTTCCTATATATATATATATATATATATATATATATATATATATATATATATATATATATATGAGAGAGAGAGAAGAATGAACAAAAAATTATTTTTTCTTTTTTCCGATGGAATGTTAAAAGGATTAATTAGATGCAATGATAGTGAAATATTGGTTGAAGAAAGTCATGCTTCGACAAAACTGAATTTTTCACACACTACCACTCACTGAATATATTCTGGTGAACAAAAGAATAAATATTTCGAAAATCACTCAAAGGCCACACTAGGTAGTCTCATGGGCCACATGTGAACCACAGGCCATATTTTGTGCAGGCATGCTCTAAACTAAAATAAACAAAAGTATAGTGTCAGATTTACTACAAAACTACTGAATTTTAAGCTTCAAGGCCCGTAATCTTCCCAAAAGGACTCTGAATCAACATTTTTTTTTACTAAATGAATTTATCAACAAATGGATTTTTTTCATTAAGGGTTTATTACAATACAGTTATTTTTAATAATAGAACCATAAACCAGTGAGTTGAAGTCCTTTTTATTTAATCATTTCACTCCAAGCAAGGCAATAAAGCCATTAATGTCATATTGACGTTAGATTATATACTAATATGTAAATAATATTCCTTGAGAGCATTAATTTTTTTTCAGAAAAAAATAAAAAAACAGTATTGAAGTTTAGTCACTCACTGTTGACATTTATTGATATTGTCCTTTTATTTTTAGGATGACCTCTGGGGAAATGCCATCTTCCTGAAAGAATCCAATGCCATCAGTGTAGAACTACACAAAAAGGTAACAACTTGACATTTGTCTTGCATATCTTATTGCAATTTGCACATAACATACAGATTGGTGCCTACAATTTTGATATATTCAATTGAAATGAAAAATCTAACAGTAACATAAATAATGCATGAAAGGAAAATATTTATTAAAAAGATTTCCTTAAAAAAATAAATAAATTTTTAAATTAAAATTTATATCTATATTTTTATACTTACCTCATCTACCACATTCAAGACCATAGTGGACTATAGTGAACAACCCTTGGGACCCCCCTAATCTTTTCTATGGCTTCATAAGATGTGCTTCACCAGAGCTACATAGAGATTCGGATTCTGAGTTGCCCTTCTCTTAGACTAGTTGCCAGCCATGGATACAGAACCCAATTTACCCTGCTATTTAATCCATAGCTGGGAAGAGAAGAATTGGGTTCATACCTTTCTCAATGGTAGTCATGTGAAAGTGAATGGGTGGTGGAAGTTTTCTTATACTGAAGTTAATAGCCAGAGCAGAGGGTTTCCCCAACAGAATCTATGGCCACATGTTCATGAACAAGGTGAGCCTTCAAGTTAGAAGACCAGTTGTGGTTTGACCTGGAGAAGGATAGGATCCATCAGGTATTTCTTGCCAAACATATGCTACATGTGAATGAATACCTTTCCAGCTTTCAATTTGGATATGTGGAGGGATCTTGGCAGGTGCTCAGCTAAGGCCATATCCAGTCATGGGGACAGATGATGATGACAAAAAGAGTTTTTATTCTCTTAGAATGCAACCTCAGTTTCTAAACAGCCACACTTATATATGGATGATGATGATGATCAATACAAGCCAAAATATTTGACAGGCAGAAGGAGAAATTAATTTTTGGCAAACCTTGTATCCAAGATTATTAAGGCTGTTAATATGTCAGCATTTCCTTCCAAGCTATGTTGCTTAGTTCTATCAGTTCAGATCTTTGTAGCTAAGATCCACCATGCCATGTACACAGTCAAATCATCCTTATTCATTTCATATTCCATTGGTAAGGAGGAAGTTCCACTCGGACTACTGCTTCCCAAGAACCACCACTTTATCAACTATTATCTATCCTACATATCCTGTTAATATCCACATCCTCTTATCTCTATACAACTTCATTCAGTAACCAGATGTACTAATAGGGTGCAATGTATAGCAGTTCAGAATGAGAAGTTGGAGAACTAAGTTCGAATTCCAGTTGAGCTTGTTTCATTCACTTACGCACAAATACCCTTGGGAAAGGTATGACTCTATCTCTCCCCCACCGTGTAGAGTTAAAGAGTAGTACAGATATATGGAAAAATCATTTCTATTTCCAAAAGATTGTTTGTGAAATATTCACTTGCAAAAAAAAAAAAAAAAAAAAAAAATTTGGCTTTGAATAACACACACAGGGGGTTGGTAAGTCATAAAAAACAAGCCAATCAATTATTCAATAACCCTCTACCTTGAGCGGCTCTTGGGCCTTGTATTCTGTGTACATTTAGTAATACAAATAATAATAATGATGATGATAATAATCTGTTACTGGTAGGAAACTGAGGATTTTACTTTTCTTTTTTTTTTCACTTGTCCAGGTGCAGTTCCAATTTGTCCTGTTAACAGACACAAGTTATTCGCCTCTGTCGTCTGAACTTTTGTCTCAAGAAGATCGAGACACCAACCGACCTTTCCCAAAGACTATTGTCGCTGTTGAGGTTCAAGACTTAAAGAATGGAGCCACACACTACTGGAGTTTGGAGAAACTCAGGTAAGCCATTTTACTTATTTTTATAGATGTCCCTCTCCCCACTCCACCCCATTCCTCTCTTTCTCTCTCTTCTCCATGTTGAGTTTTCAAGCTTATTTCTTCACTCTCGCTTCTTTTTCTCTCTCTCTCTCTATCTCTTTTTTTCTCTCTCTCTCTTTCTTACTCTCTTTTCTCTCGCTATGTTATCTATCTTCTGCTCTTTATTCTCATTTGCTTTTCTTTCTGTCTTTTTCCCTCTCTATCTCATTTTACTTTCTCTCTTTTCTCTCACTATGTTATCTATCTTCTCTTTATTCTCATTTGCTTTCTCTCCCTCTTTTTCTACCTTTCCCTCTTTTTCTACCTCTCTCTTTGTTTCTTTCTCTCTTTTCTCTCACTCTTGCTATGTTATATATCTTCTGCTCTTTATTTTTGTTTACTTTTTTTTTCTCTATCTTACTCTCTTTTCATACAACAACACTTTTTCTGATTTCTCTCTCATTCTATCTCTCTCATTTTTTAATCTACAAAGCTCTCTCACTTCTTTTTATTTTATAAATCTCTTTCTCATGCTTTTTTTATACTTATAACACTATCTCTTCTGTTTTATCTACAACTCTCCCTCTCTTTTGTTCTGTTTATTTTCTTCTTAGCCCTTCTCCTCTCTCTCTCTCTTCTTACCCCTTCTCCTCTCTCTCTCTTCTTACCCCTTCTCCTCTCTCTCTCTTCTTACCCCTTCTCCTCTCTCTCTCTCTTCTTACCCCTTCTCCTCCCTCTCTCTCTCTTCCTTTCTCTCCTTCTCTCTTCTCCCTCTCTCTCTCTCTTCTTACCCCTTCTCCTCTCTCTCTCTTTTCTTACCCCTTCTCCTCTCTCTCTTCTTACCCCTTCTCCTCTCTCTCTTCTTACCCTTCTCCTCTCTCTCTCTTCCCTTCTCCTTCTCTCTCTCTCTCCTCTCTCTCTCTTCTCTCTCTCCTTATCCCTTCTTTCTCTTAAATCTATTAAACCTCTTTGTATCTTCTTACTCTCTTTATTTTGTTTCCTCTTTGCTCTTCACAAGCACTCACTCTCTCTCTCTCACTTCTTTACTTATCATACGCTGTATATCTGTGTGAAAGATAGCTGGATGCATTTCTTTTAGTATTAATATGTCTGTCTATCCAATTTTCAATACAACTCCCACAGCAATTGTATTCTCAATAAAGGAAGAAAATAATGACATTTGTCTGTCATATACCAAAAATGGCCACAACTGTCCACACTTAAACTCAAGATGAACAAAGGTCATGGTGTGAAGGTCAAATATTGTAATATGCATGAGAAATAGCATAAGACAAGAATTAATTTTTGACCAATGCCAAGAATCACTTTTTTACAAAAGGTTTCAGGCAATTGTTTTGTGTTGATTATGTACAATAGTAATCATAGAAGATATATTTTTGATGATTTTATATTTTATAAAGAGAATCTATAACTAATATTTATTGATTTTATTGAAGTTTGATGATAGGGTGCAATGGGTAAAATGTCGCCATTTTATATTTTTAATTTCATGCATGTGTGTTGTTTATTTTTGATTTTGTTGACTGCGCATTATTGTGGGGTCAGTTGGGCACTGACTGTGAGAAAAAGAGCACCATGATGCAATTCACTCAGCCAGAAATTTGGAAACAGCATGTTGTATTGCTTGGCATTCAAAACTTCAATACAAACAATTCAGAATGTTTGGGTGTCAATCTGAGGACAGTGCAGAGGATTCAAAGAGAGTTGGATGAGTCTAATGGTGATTATGAAGGTACGCCAGCTCGCAAAACTCAGTCTGATCGTTCTGATTAGAAAAGAACTCCTGAATTTGTTGGTGAGATCCAGGACATGATTGACAACGATATCTCCAAGTCAATCAGGTCCATAGCCAGGTGCACACGACTGTCTGAGTTTCTTATCAAGCAGGTAGTGCATGAAGACATTCAGTATTTTTATACAAGATGAGAAAGGGCCAATTTTTATCCCATGCCATGAAGGACAAGTGGAAAGACTGTACTACAAGGCTTTTGAACTTAAGCATCCCCTACAACCAAATATGCTTTGGTTTTTCTCAGATGAGAAAGATTTCTGCCAGGATAAGATGGTGAACACACGGAACAACCGTTGGCTTGCTGTGTCCTCAAAAGATGTACTGAGAGTAATAAAAACCAAATATCCAGTGAACATCATGGCGTTTGGAGTGATCACTGGTGATGGCAATGTTATGCCTCCATTCACCTTCCTACAGGGCCTCAGACTCAACACAGAGGCCTACATCAAGTGCCTTGAGGAGGTAGTGCTGCCTTTGGTCAAGAGGATGGCTGCTGAAAGACCCTATGTCAGACAACAGGACTCTGCACCATGCCACACAAGCAGGAGAACCTAGCCATAGCTGTTAGACAATATCTGCAACAACATCACCCCTTACATCTGACCACCTAACTCCCTAGACTGCAGGCCCCTTGATTATTATATGGGGAGTCCAGTTGAGCAAGAGACAAAAAAACTCCTTGCAACAACAAAAATGAACTGAAGGCAAGGATTATGGCAGCATTCACCAAATTAAACAAGGAGACTATCCAAAAGAGTTGCAGGAGATTCCAAAATCATCTGTAGGCTGAGGTTGAAGCCAATGGCGATTTTATTGAATAAATTTACTTTTTAGTATTTCAAGATACTTTTGTGTAATTTTGCTAAATATATCTGTTAAAATGAGATGTCAGTGTTATTTTCATTTTTGCCTAATTAGACGACAGTTTATCCATCACACCCTGTATATAATATTACACATTAAGTGCTGGTGTTAATAAAATAGTGCTTGATGTAATGTAACAGAACTATAAATTAGATATTAATAACAAATTTTTATATATATGCATATATAATATATGTATTTTTTTCTTCCTCACCAGTAGCATATATTTTTTTTATTATATATATATATATATATATATATATATACATATACAATCATCCACAGACAGACTGTTTTGCTGTATCACAGTGTGTCTAGGAATGCAATTGCTTCAAGCTAGGATCAAAACCCAACCGATTTGACATCAATCGGAGACACTCACCATTAGGCCATCAATGTACACGGCAGAAGAAGGGAATTTTTAATGCATCATATATGAGATATAAGCATTATCAGCTACCAGAGTGCTCAATTCATAGTAAAGAGCTTTTAGCATTAATTAGTGGTAGCTGACAAATTCCCTTTCTTCCAAGGTGCTCAACCTATGAAAGAGGACATATATAGTCATCCACAGAAAGACTGTTTCACTGTATCACAGCTCATCAGTGTGGCTAGACATCCAATTGGTTCAAGCTGGGACTGAAACTTGACCACTTTGACATCAGTCAAAGACTCTTACCTCTAGGTTATCGGTGCATGGCAGAGAAAGGGAATCTTTTAACGCATTATATATGAAATATATAAATGCCATTTTGCATAGTGCTCAATTCTTATGAAGAGCAATGCATTAAAACATCAATAGCTGTTAAAAATTACCTTTTTTCTATAGTGCTTTACATATATAATAGACCAGTTAACAAAATCCAACTAAATCAAGCCTTATGTATCGATATATCTACAATCATATGTGAATACCTACTATTTAATCCACAATTTTTGTAATTTCACTCTCTTGTTGGCCATACTTGAACTTCTGTCAGAGCTCTTTCTTTCATAACTATGACTTCTTATACACTCTCTCCTAAGTCCTTATCAAACTTTTCATGTTTGTCAACCACTGCTTTCTCTCTCTCTCATTACTGCTTATTCTCTCTCAGCTAAACTTGACTTAGTCTTTCTCAAGCTTATCTCTCTCTTTCCCCTTTTCCTCCCTCTCTTTCCCCTTTTCCTCCCTCTCTTTTTTCCCTTCCCTCCCTCTCTCCCCTTTCCCCCCTTTTTCCCTCCCTCTCTCTTCCCTTTCCCTCCCTCTCTTTCCCCTTTTCCTCCCTCTCTTTCCCTTTCTCTCCCTCTCTCTTTCCCTTTCCCTCCCTCTCTTCCTCCCTCTCTCTTTCTCTTTCCCTTTCCCATCTCTCCTCTCTCTCCCTTTCCCTCTTTCCTCTCTCTCTCTCCCCTTTTCCCCTCTCTCTCTCCCTTTCCCTTTTCCTCTCTCTCTCCCTTTCCCTTTTCCTCTCTCTCTCCCTTTCCCTTTTCCTCTCCCTTTCCCTCACACTCTCTCCCTTTCCCTCACACTCTCTCCCTTTCCCTCACACTCTCTCCCTTTCCCTCACACTCTCTCCCTTTCCCTCACACTCCCCTATCTCCCTTTCCCCTCTCTCTCCCTCTTTTAAGTTTCCTTTTCTTTCCTCTCATATGCTTTCTGTATTTATATTTATTGCCTTATTATTCATCTTTCTCTTTTTCCCAATTTTTTTCATACTCGTTTTTTCCCCATCATCTTTCTACTCTTTTCTTATTTCTTGTTTTTCTTTTTTCTTTCTTTCTGTCTCTCTCACTCTATCATTCCCCCTTTTTTGTTCCATTTTTGTCACTCTTTTTTTTCTTTTTTCCCCCTGCTACCCCCTCTCTTTTTTGTCCATTTTTTCCTCTCTCTACTACCTCTTATTTTTCCACCATTTTGTCCTATTCCTTTAAACTTTGCTTTCTTTACCCTTTCTTCTCTCTTGTGCTTCTGTTGCTATCTTTTCTAGCCAACTCTCTTTTTCTTTTCTACTTTTCTCTTTAATTACTTAAATCATAACATACATTAGTATTTTTTCTCTCTCTTTTTCCTATCTCTATTCCTCTTACTTCTCTCTTCCCTTTTCTTATTCTTTATACTTCTCTTTCTTTGTCTCTTTCCTGTCTTCTTTTCTCTTAATTTTCTCTCTCTATCTCCCATCTCTCTGTTCCTAATACTTTTCTTTATCTATTTCTCTCTTTCTATTCCTCTAACTTCTCTCTCTTCATCCTTTTCCTGTTTCCTTTTCTCTTAATTCTCTCTCTCTCTTGCCTTTTTTCCTGTCTCTTACATTTCTCTCACTTTCCGGTTTCTATTCCTTTTACCTCTCTCTCTACTTTATTTGTATATTGACCAATGCACACGCACACATACACATACACACCCACCCACCCACACACACACACACACACACACATATATAAATATATATATTTATATACACTTGACACAGTACACAAAAACGCGTTTCATTTTTTGCTCTCAATATTAAACAATTTTTTCTCCTAACCCTATCCTTACGTTGTCTATTTTATTGTGGCACTCGTGGTCCACCCCATGCTTTTTTTTTTCTTTTCAAAATTGATTTTTATGTTTCATCATTTTATTTTTTCTATAGTTTAATGCTATTTTTGTGGATGTGTGTGTGCGTGTGCATTTGCATTCATTAATTTTTTTTTAATTTCTTTTCATGAGTAACTTTTAATTTGTTTATTTTCTTTTGTTTTTGTACAAAAAAATTGGTATGCTTAAGAAAATTGGGCTTTTTTTTTTTTACCATGCCTCAGATTGTGAATATACTTTATTTAAACCTCTCTGTGGCTTTCTCCTTTTTGAGACCTCGGCAAAAATTATTTCAAAGCACACTTGATCATTTTTAATATTGACTAACAAAATCATTTTCTAGTTACTGTATATACTTGTGTGATGTTTACTTTAAATACGGCTGTACCTTTTGACTGCAGCAAATGGATATATAGTTTGGTCAAAGGCATAGCCAGGGTCAATAGTACATATGCTAATTTTATATCTCATGTATGATGCAACCCCCTTAAAATTAGCTTCAAAATTAGGTTTTCAAAAGTTGCATGATACACAAGTATATACGGTACTATGTTTTGTAAGTAATTTATAATGTGATCAGACACCTAGCATCTAATGTAATTTTTTTTTTACTTTTGCATCATATAAAATATACGTTTGTAAAATCAGTTTTGAAAACTAAAAACAGTTCTTTTTTTTGTGTGTGTGTTTTCTAAATATGAGGCATGTTAAAAAGAAAATCAAAAATGTTTGGGCAACCCTGGAAAATAACTCTCTTAGATCCCCTCAAGGTAGCCATCTTCTGTCTGTGATGATGAGGATAATTGTCTCCTAGAAGCACAAATCAAAATTAGCATGAGACCCTCTTTTGGGCTGTGCCTTTAAAAAAAAAACAAAAAACAAAAGCCCTAAATATAAGTATTGCTGTTTTTTTTTTGTTTTTTTTTTTTATTCCGTCTATAATTCTTCTTATCCAGTACTACTTCTTTCATCAGACGTTATCAGGCTCAGAAAGTACAAACAGAAGCCATCTCTTTATAGGTCAAATTCCGTTCTTGTGTTTTTGGAAAATCTTGCTATCCAAGAAACAATGAAACATCTCATTTCCTGTCTTAGAAAAAAAAGCACTGACAACATTCTCCTTTTTAGATATTCAAATGGTTAGTCAACTTGCCCTTTAGTAGGTGTTGCAATTAATTATTTTATCAAGTTAACTTGGATTGTAACTAAAAAACATGATTACTGAACGTCACTGTTGCAAAGTAGTATATCATAATGATTAATTCTAAAGTAAATAGACACACAAACTGAATATGGACAACTTCTTTTGTTCTTGGTTAGGGGAGATCGTCTTCACTAGTTGAAATTAAGTTACTACTATACTAACCAGTCAACATAATATTTGTTCAAGGGTAAGTCATTGAGAGGATGCATCAATAAGTTTGTAGCCTGACATGTAATTATTATCTAAATTTTGAGCTGAATTTCTCACTGTATAGTATTTCATATAATATGATTAATATCCCTGAATTATCTTGTTCGACATGAAATCAAATGATACATAATTCTAGAGTTATTTCCATCATAGTGTATAAATTAAATGAGGTGAATTTAAAAAAAAATATTATCTACCTTTTCGACGTTAAAGAGTATTGAGCAGTTCTTTCAGTGTGCATACTAACACTCATAAAATATTTCCAGATACATTTATCAAATCTGCCATTTTAAATCAATCTATTTATATCTCGAGATCTCTTTTCTTACCTGACATGTAGCCAGTTTCAATGAATGCAAGCTAAATTCAGTTGTCATCTTGAAATTTTTACTCTTTGACGACAACTTCTTCTACATGCCATGTTCCTTCAGGAAGTTAGCGATCATGGCTCTCAACAATTTCCTCCCCTTTGAAGCTCTTAATAAATTTTGTCTTTTCACTATCTCTCCAAAACCCTTTTCCACTGTCCATTTACTCAAGTTCGTTAGGTAGGTTATGCATTGTTTTCCTCTGTCTCTCTTGCCTTCAATCTGTTATGTGAGTATCAAAAATTTCCAAGTTCTTTTTCCTCATGTGCTATAGAAATTTCAACTATCTGTTTCTGATGTTAAGTGTAAGCATCCTTTTTGTTTCCATTTTCTCTAAAATTTCGTCATTGCTCACGTGTTCAGTCTATGTTATTCTCGGCAATCTTCCATATAACCAGATTTCTGTTGCTTCAAGTCTCTTCTTCCTCTGTAAAGAGATTGTCTGGCATTCACTGCCATATGGGAGAACTGATATTACATAAAAGTTCAGTACTTTTTTCTTTGTTTCTGTTGCTTCAAGTTTCTTCTTCGTCTGTGAAGAGATTGTCAGGCATTCACTGCCATATAGGAGGACTGATATTAGATAAAAGTACAGTACTTTTTTCTTTGTTTGCAACAAAATTTTTCCATTTCTTAATATTTTGCTTAGCTTTTGAAAGGCATTTTTTTCTATCCCAATGTGTCTTCAGGTTTCAGTGTCACACATTCCATCTTCTGTTAAAACACTTCCCAGATATTTCAATTTTTGTATTTGTTTGATTTTTCACTTCCATTTTGTAATGTGCATGTTGGGCAGTCCCTTTTGCTAACAACCATGCATTCTGTTTTCATGCAATTGATGTTTAATTCTTTCTTCTCACTTTCCTTCACTACCTTCTGTAGGAGTTCTTATAGTTTCCTTTCTGTGTCTGCTATCAACATTGTGTCATCTGCATATAATGAGAGTGGAATTCACCATTCAATTTCAAGCCTCATCCGTTGACATACTTTATCAAGTAACTTTAGTAAAAGTATAAACACACATTAGGTTGATTTATTAATAATTTCTGTTTTTCAGAACCATCTGTAATGACAAGTATATCATCCTAACTACTAATCATAAGTGGTAGTTAAATTTAAAGCTGGATTATATTAACATACCTTAGTTTTAGCAATGATAGTGGCAGCATACACAGTGGATTAAAGTAACCATTTTTATCAAAAGTTTTTTTTACATCAAAACCCATGGAATTTTACTAAAAACGTACTGAAGAACAGCTGGATAAATGGCAATAAAGTCTTTGCAAATAATGGTGAATATATATAGTTGAATAAAATGTACTTTATTTTTTGAAGAATAAAGTTGATAAACAAATAAAAGTGGGAATTATTTTTGTCTCAACTTAAATCACACTGAAAGCATTGGTTCTCATTCACCAAAGTTAAGCAGTGTTGGGTTTGATCAGTACTTCAATAGAGGACCGTTTAGGAACACCTGGTACTCTAAGTAATTGGGGGAGGGGGGTTTAAACCCTAACAAAAAGATCCTATCTTCAAAATGCAGGAAGGTGGTAAAAGATGATGGTGATTACAATGACAGACTGTTGTTTCGAATTACATCATTTTAGGTATGAATCTACCTCTTCTTCCCCCAGCTATAGGATAATTAGTAAGACCTGTATCACTAAATCATTATAAATTTTTTTTAAAAAATTCTTACAATCTAAAAATATTTCCTGGCTTTGTATGGTTTATCAACCCTGCAGATTTTCTTAAATGGTGAAATTAATAACTGGTTTAGATTGAGAAGTTCTACTAAAGAAAGATTGTGTCTCCAACAAAAATCGAACCTCTAACCACCTTTCAATTAGGGAAAATGCTTCTATAGCCAAAACTTACTTTTACTTCTTCAGCAATGAAGGTTGCATTAAATCCAATACTTTTCCTTTAATCACTTTAAATCATATTTTGTTTTTTACTAATGTTCTCCCTATACAAGACCAAAGAGACACTCAAGATAATGGATTACTGAAGGTGTTGTGTGAGTGGTACGATTAAAGGGTGCAATTTATGTGAGAAAGATGGGTATCCCTAGGCTTGAAATGGTTAAGATTGAACTTGGTTGGAAAGTAACCTCCTTCGATTTTGTTCCACAAAGCAAGTTCTTGGGGAGAAGCTATCCTAGTGGGACTTACTCCTTACTAAAGGAGTATGAAGGTAATAAGGACGTCTCACCTCAATGTACGCAGTGTTGTAGGTCTTAGCTGGGAGAGTTAGAGTTGAAGG